AATTTTGCACCCTGCTGTAAAGAGAAAACAAGAAAGTAGCTTAGACATGCACAGGCATTAGTCAAGCCATGACTATAGGTACAATGATTTAGCCTGAACAGTTGGTCAGGAGGTCATAAAAGAAATGTATTTCATTTTGTGAGGGCTAGAAAAAAATGACTCTTTTGCCAAATTTGTCTAAGAGTTGGAACTGCCACAGAGCATACATAAGATTTATGAGACTAGACTCTGGATTCTTTCCTGAGCCCAGGAAATTGCATTCCTTTGAGGTTCAAGCAGATGTTCATTGATAATACAAAACTATGCTCTTTTGCTTGAAGAAGGCAGGTAGGAGCACCAGAAAGCCAAATAGCCTTAAGTGGATAACTGAAAGGAATGAAGAAGGATAATAAATTACCATTCTGAAAAATATGCTCACCTCATAACCCAGAAGAAGGGATGGCTTGCACGTGCAAAGGACAAGGAGCAAGTGATTGCCCCACGTTCTTAACAATTAAAGCTGCTTTGCTTGAAATTGTAAATCGGAGGAGTAGCTTGATATTGTCTGTACCAGGCCATTACTGACATGTGCATGGTGTTTGTTGTAGGACTAGTCAGGAAGACACAAATGAAAACGGGAGAAAAATACCCCACACTGCAAATAGATCAGATACAAAATGAGGAAGTGGGAGAAGACAGCTGTGCTTGAATATCACCAGCTCAAGGAGCCACTAGAAAATGCTTGCACACTGGTTAACTTTCACAGGGACTGAGGTAATCCCAAGGGATAAAATGAGGAATAAGGGGGCTAAAGTTGAGCTAATGGAGCTAATTGTAGAAGAGATCTTTTCTGAGAACCCAGACTTAAATATATGTCACAGAAATAACTGCAACAGCACATTAGACATTATTCACAATAGTTGCAGTTAGATGGGTGTGTTGGACCGAGGGAGAAAAGCATTCCCTCTCTTCCAACCTTAACGTTCGGATCCATTAGGGAAAAACACAGAAAGGGCATAGAAAGCTCCTCAGGCAACTCAATAAGCAAAAGACTAACTTTGATTTACATGAGGTGTCATATAATGACTAATGGGGAAAAAAAAAACAAAACAAACAACGAAATAAAGCTTTCATCTCACAAATAAAACAGCAAGATTTCAAAATGTACTGTTCTAATGTGGAATAAAAAACAAGACTTTTCCTTCTGAAATCCCCCATAACCACCATGCCACATTAGTCAAAATCAGTTGATCAAACCAGTAATTTGGTATGTGGGAGAATGAAACAGGCAGAACATAGATAGGAGTCTAAGCCTTCTCCATTCGCATGAAGAACCCCAACTTTTAGGTCAATGGCTATTTCAAGCAGAATTTTACCTCCAAGAGAAGCAAAAGAAAAGAAAAGAAAAGAAAAGAAAAAAAAAAAAAAAAGAGACAAATAAAAGAGCCAATTAAGTGCTAATTTTTCCATGGTGGGAGAAAATACTTCTTTTTCTCACCCTTCTCCAGCAGCTAGAGAAGAAAAGGACTATGTTAGATGTGTTGTTTTCACATCTGGCTAAGGACTGGAAAAACTGAGTAGCATCAAAAAGAAGTCAAGTAAGTAGAACTTGGTTTCTACATCAACCCCAAAGCAACAAATCAAGAGATTTCAACAACTTTTCACTAGAGCTTAATGATGGAAATCTCTTCAGAAAAGCAATAGTTGTCAACTTCCCAAGACAATAACTGTACTAATAATAACCGGTTGCAAAACCACTTAGGTAGAAAACTATAAAATCCATATTCCAGCGACTTGTTTTTAATAGGTATTGTGCCCTGTGGCAATCAGAGATAGTGTCAGCGTCCTCCAGAGAAAAAAGAAACCAGCTTGTAGCTGAGCAACTGGCATTAAGCAAGCAGGCTTTTTTCTGCTCATCATGGATCACACACTGCTCACCGAACCCTCTACGCTGTCACTACCCGTTGAAAATGACCTTCTGGTTGGAACTTGAGCCACCTTTTTTTCATCTGCATATACATGTTTTCTGGCAAAAAGAGATTTCAGGCCTCTAATGCAGGCCCTACATTCTATTAAAAACATGTAAGTAATTACCAATCATTTTTCTAATCTTCTGTTTTTCCTTTTCACTCTTAATTTCTCAATTTCTTCCCTGCTTTCCAATACATTTTCATATACAGCCACACATGCCCCACACACAGACTCCCATGATTTGTTTTTTTGCAAAGAAATTTAATGTTTGATGAAATTGCTTGAACTTCTTCTTATTATTATTTTATAGCTCTATTGCTTTTGTTTTGGTTAGCTGAGCTGTGACTTTGGTTTTGGATATTGTACTTAAAGAAATTCCAGTGCCTGTAAGTGCACTAGAATGAAACATATCTATGTATTTCCCCTTCATAAAGTAATAATCATTAAAAAAAAAAAAAAAAAAAAGGTGAGATAGGGTTTTTTAATAGAGCACTTCTAAAAAGCCATACCCTTTGAGCTACCCAGCACTTTCTTTCACAGAGCTGAAAGATGATAAGCAAACATTGACCACAGCAGTATTGGAAATAATTGTCAAGAGCAGTAAATCAATGTCTACGGGTTACCTTGGTCTTTCACTGATAACAGGAGCCATGAGCAGATCTCTGCAGTAACTGAGACTGAGAAGAGCTCAGATGCACATTCGAAATACTGCCATGACCATATTACTGAAGTTAAAATAACAGTGTAAGAACAGGAGAAGTCTGCTGTGATGGCTCTCTAGACTCCAATGGTTAGGGTTCCAGGACTTTCAGAGGCAGTGTCTTGGCTTTTAGTAAACTTGGGGCATCTTCTTCTGTGATTTTGTCCAATGTTTTAAATTTTTTTTCTTCTAACTATAAATTTAGATGGTGATGGTGCAGTGGGTTCATTTGTGCAGCACCCGTCAGACAGATCTGCCTATTCATCATTGGTCTGTATTCACTACAAAAACAAAGAGGCTTTGCAAGAGCAACTGGAAACAAGGCTGACCCTGTGGAAGCAAAGAACACATATAGTGGTTTTATTTATAAGAGGATTTAAATCTAGTGTTAACACTATTCTTGTTGGCAGCACAAGTGATCACAGCAGCTATTGTGTCCTGCCCCGAGCAGGTGGTACCTGGCAGGCAACTGATGACAGAGAGGCTCTGAAATGCAGAGCCCAGTTCACATGGTCATTTGCAAGTTCTGCCCAGTGCCGAGGTGTGACCTGTAAGGCATTACTTGGTCCTTTAAATTTTAGCCTCAGCAACCACAATTTGTGAGCAAACAAATGCAGCTTCATCAGTGCAGCCATCATCAACGTCACATCAGCCTAACCTGTGTAAGAGAGCAGCGCAGAGAGGATCAGAGCCACCAGACAGAAGCATCTGGCCTCTCATCTCATTCCAAGGCAGGTTAAGTTACATCACTGACGTATCCGCCTCCATACACATCGCACTGTGCACTTCCCTGATGAGGCACAGGGCAGTAACCTCCACATCACAGCTGCCTCACTCCTCATGGGGCTGTTCGCCTTTAACAAGTCCATCACTATGAACGGAGCTTTGCTGGAAACTGAACAGGAAACAGAGAGGAAAATCATCCTGATCAAAAACAGCATTGCAGGGTATATTGTTCTTTTATTAATATATTTGTTCTTAAGAGCTCTCATTTTGGAAGCTGGCTTCTCAGTTTCTTGAGATTTACCACAAGCTCTTTTCATTCTCTTAGTAGACATGTACTGTGAAGTGGGAGACAAAAGGATGACTGATGCAAGCATCAAGCAGAGATCTTCCTGAGGATTCAAGCTCGTCTTGAATCTTAAAAACAGGTGCCCTGTTTTATCTGAAAAACTTCTCAATTACACGCAAATTGTAAAAACAGCCTTCTCATCCAGTTTTCATTATAGTTTTATCGGTTATGCTTGGTAATAGCTTTCTTTTCACAGTGCAAGGTCAACTACCTTAATTAAATTATAACTTTCATCTTTTTTTTTTTTCTTCTTGAATAAAGCTTTCTGTTCTTCTAAGCCTGGAGACACTCTATGAATTACCATGACTATAAAGGCTGCAATTAGTAAAACTCCACCTGAAGAAGTTAAAGTATCATGACATTAGAGGCTGCAATTAGTAAACTTTGCTAGTAAACTTTGCTAGCGGGGGAAAAAAAAGTGATTTTGGCCGCATTTACCTATAGCATGTTTTCAGTAGAAGCAGCAACTTGTGTATAAAGTCTTCAGCAAAATGCTGAAGCACACACTCAAGTACCCGCAGCTTTGTTGAAATGAGGTCATTTTACATTAATTGATATTAGTTTTCCTCCAGTTTTTATTTCCTGCGATTTCAAACTTGAATTTAATCTAAAAAAGACAACTGATTAAAAAAAAAATCCCTTTGCAACTCATAAGGCAGTTTCCTTGTTTGTACGTGGCACAGGATTATTCAACCAAATCTGCCTTTTCCATCTTTCTTGCTGGCTGCCATCCAAATAACAAATAAAGGGCTTTTAACTGGTTAGGGAATCTTTAATTCCAGAGCAACATAACAAAGCGTCATTTGTGCTACTGTCATCCATGGAGCCAGCCAGCTCCCCTCAGGCTCTAGTTTCCACACTCTTTTCCCTGAATATGATTGCTGAATGTAGCAATGGGTGTATTGAAAACATCATGGAGTGGTTGTTGATTTACTGATGGAAAATATTTTTCCCTTCAAGGTAGAATTTCCTACAGATAAAGGTTCTATTTTCTCAGCAGCTCAGAATTTTGTAATACAAAAAAATATGTCTGTCAGCTGTCTACTGAAGGCTGAGAAAGTTTTCCTCATCTCAGAAGGTATTAAAGTTACCCCAATGGGCTGGAGAACACACTGTACTACATTAGCCTCACTGTGCTCAGTAAAAAGAAAAGAACAAAATGACACATCCCACAGGGAATCTCACAGCCCAATGTATCACGAGTATGAGAATAATTGCAGCAGACTACCCTTATTTTTAAGTGTTTTATTAAAATAAGAAAATAAAGTTTCCTTAATACAAATTACATTGCTTAAATGCGTTTGATTTGTCATGTTCCTACACACTGCCCTTCTGCCAGGTCCTACCCACTCACTAAACATTAGGAACCAGCAGGGTCGGTACAGAAGATAGACACACCTGGGCCGACCAGGAATCACAGAAAGAAGTGACGAGCAGATCCAGACGGTGCAGCAGGATGGCCGAGCAGGAGAGACCTCCCCGCTCCACCTGCTCACACCAGGAGCTGAGCAGTGACTCCAGCATCCTCAGGAAAGGGTGACGTTTCTGAATGGCCGCGCTCTGTGTGGATGCATTACCTGAGCCGCTCGCTTTGAGGGGCCACTGCTTCACTCTTCAGCTTTATTCTTCCTCCCCAAAGCAAGGACAAACGGAGCTTCAACTATCACTCCCATCTTCATCGCTGTGCAGGGCACAGTGCAAACTGCACTGGTCAGGGGCAAACTGCACCCCTCTTCTTGCTGTCAGGAGGTAAAGTGACCCCAAGGTTGTCAGCCGTGTATTTATAGACATAAAGGCCGCTGAGGGCTCCATTCACAGCATTTCAGCTGAACTTTGCACACATCCATACACATGGCTTTTATTGAGGAGGGGAGTGGAAACTGCAGCCTGGTACAGCCATAAATGCAACCAGGGTAGCCTTCATTTCTCTTCAGTTTTGAGGTATGACTCAAAAAATAAATATTATCAGCTGCACTTGCAAGTGAGTCAGAAGAGTGTCTCTTTACTCAGTTACTGTAATATCCCTGATACCCAGGGATGTGAGAAAATGATATACCAAAAGAAAAGGTGAGATAACGTACCCATGTATTGTCCCAAGAAGCAACTGCTTACATCTAGCTTAACCAACGGTATAACCTTGGCAGATCCAATGGAAAACTCCATGTAGGAGAGTTTTTCCAGCTACTAAAGAGGAAGACAGGTTTTCCGGATAGGATATTGAGTATTTTTCAGATATCTATGGCACTCAGGCAGATCCAATGTGCCATGCTAATCCATGGCACAACTGGGGGCAGAAGACACCTAAAACACAACTAAAAAGTGAGAAACTATTTATGGAATAAAAATAAATGACTATGCTATAATGTGGTATAGAAGAAAGTAGGCTAGGGAACTTTCCATGTGTTTCCAAGACTCAGACCCTATTACAATGGGAACTGAAATACTACTCCTGACAGCATTTTTTGATGCTCTTCCGCTACAGATTGCTCTTGGGAAGCTCCAAGTCCATCAGGTGCTGCCAGAAAAAGGCCTGAATCCTACGCCAAGCATCTTGCTGGGCTTCGGCATGCTCTCTCCACTGCCCTCCCCACTGCACAAACATCCCAAGCACTTTGTGCAGGGAGGCCTGGCACAGCGGGAAGTGCGGTGGCTCCAAGAGGTGTCCTGCTCCAGAGTAGGAGTAAAACTCCGCTTCCCGTCCATGCTGCTGAAGGCGCTGAACAGCATCCTGGCAATAGAGGTCACTTTTCCAGTTTGTGTCATCCAGTCCTGACAGGAAGAGGAACTTAGCCGAGGACTTCTCCAAGGGAATGCGACAACCCCAAGTTGCTGGGTCCCTGTGATCCTCTAGAATGTCTCTAAAATCTGCTAGGCCAGACTCATACTTTATCCTTCCCAGATCATAGGGGTGGGGAGGAATAGTAAAACCATCACCCTGCAGGGGAATGAAAGAATTAAAACCACTTCCAGAAATGCTGACCGCTGCCTTGATGCCAGGTAGAAAAGTGGCCATGGAAAGGGCTAGATCAGCTCCTTTAGACAAGCCCAAAACGCCAATCCCAGTATCTTTCACCTGAAACACAGTTATGAAACAACCATTATCAACAACTCCTCATTTCTCAGGCTGATAAAATGATTAACTTTCTCACTCCTCATCTAACTTTTGCACTCCTGCCCTTTCTCAATTGAGCTTACACCCCCCCATATTGATCCCTTTGCTGTGTCTCCCCAAGACTGACTGTAAATTCGACAGCTCCTGTCACTGCAGCACTTTCTTCCTGAAGAGCCCTGCAGACCAAGTCTCTTGGCTCCTTCCATGTCTCATCTTGAAACTTGCTCTCTGTGCTCTACCTTTTACTGTTCTAGATTCCAAAACCTCCAAGCATTTTTCTTCTGCTCTTCTTTGCCAAACCACCTTTTTCATGGTTTTATTTGTGTTTTCTCTCTCTCAACTCTTTTTTCATACTCTTCTATATCTGACCTGTTATTTTCTATTTTGTCTTGAAACACAAGTTCTTTACGCTTAGGCGTGAGTAATCCCAACAACTGTTTAATTTAACTTATTTTTTGTGAAAGGTCTTTATACCAAATTTATGTTGTAATCTGTGCCTTGTAAGATATTCTGGATGCTTCAGAGCTTTCTGAGGAACAAGGCAAATAGCAGGGCCTTGCTGGATTATAGTCTCACAGTGGCTAGTTACCTCCATGTAGTATCCAAATAAAAATAAATTAAGAAATAAAAATAAAAATAATTAAGAAAATTACCAACTTTGTCAAATGAAAAACACTCAAAGTAACATCCCATTCAAAATTCAAATGATATTTGATTTCTCTTTGACTTCTTTATGGTATGATAAATTGCTGTGAAGCGTCTTTCTAACCCATATGCTCATTCAAATACAGCCCCAGCTTTCTGAAACATGACACACACTCCAACACCAAAACTGTAGAAGCTCCTGCTCTTATAACACTTTAGTGCTACCCCTGACACTTATGATCAAAAGCCTTTGATATCCCACAAACACTGGGATCTTACACAAGAACAAGTTGACTCAGCAACTCTATGGGCTGTTATAAGGTGCTGTGCAAAATAGCTGTCCAACTCATGACAAAACTGGAACCGGCACGTGCACATTTCCCTTTCTCAGGCCCTGCTGCTTGATACCAGGCTCTCTTTCAGACAGTGTTCTCTCCTTCCACATCTCAGAAACATAGCAGCACTCAGTGGCATAAAACGTTTAAAATCAGGGAGCTGGAAGACAGTTTCTAACAGGGAGAGCACCATAGTTTGTGTCCTACCTGTTTTTGCTTCCGCAAAAAGTTTACAGATGCCTCAAAATAACTCAGTTCAAGAACTGCTGGCATAGTGGGGAGATCTTCAAAGGCCATGTAAGCCAGAGCCAGGGTCACAAAACCTCTGCTTGCCAGCAGACTTGCTCTGTATTCCACAAGACCTCCTCCAGATCCATACAGATCAATAAGCCCAGGGAATGGACCAGATCCTGCAATGAAAAGTAAATACTCATAGAGAACATTTTTTTATAGCTGTTATTCAATAACAGTGGCAGCACACAGCAGGATAGTAATAATATTGACAGGAAATCACTCTCGGAAGGTTTTCAAGTAGATTTTTCTGAGAGGTGGTTATTGTAATTAGTTTCTTTTCACCAGAGACATTAATTTACAAGATTAGTCCCTAAGCCTATCTCAGCCACCAGAAACACTAGAGCATTTCTGTGAGCAGCAGAACAATTAAATTTGGTTGCCAAATACTCTCCTCAACATGGATCCGTCGACATCTAATGATGAAGCTAGGTTTTCCTGTAGGCCCTCCCTCTCCCCCTAAGAGCACTAATTAGGATGTTTCTTTTCTCTCCTAAGAGCTTGTTATTGGCAATTCCTATTTTGGGGATCTTTAGTCCACCATCAAATTTAGCCTAACCTGGACTACATAGTCTCAAACCACTGGGAACAAATGAACAAACAGTATCATTGCATGAGTTTCACTTCTTCAGTAACTGTGTTAACAGTTTCCCTGAGGAGGATATACTCCAAGTTAAGAACCACATTAACAAATACCAGCACTGACCTACATCAAATCAGACTTCAGTTTTACCTAGCTAACTACTTTCAGGCTTCTCAGTTCTCCTCCTGCAGTTCTATTATCTTCAATGACTGAGTCCTCACTTCATGAGAGGACTTGCTCAGCTCCTGCACAGCTGCAGAGAACAGGAGGCACCTTGTATCACTGCTGCTGCCTTTGCTGCACAGCACTACCCCTACAACAGGTACCACAGGTCCCCAGGCAAAGCTTGCACCTATCCTGCTTTTTTTGTGAGGATCAAAGGGGCTGCATCAAACATAGCCCATTGAAACTGAAGACTTGCTCCGGGTCACTGCAGGTCCAAGGGCTGCAGATATAGAGGGGATGCAAAGCACATGTGGAAAGCCAGCAAGTAATTCAAACTCACCAGGAGGGAGGAAGAGAGTTGCTTTAAGCCGACCTTCTCTGACTGAAATCCTCTTCACTCCCTCTCCTAGAAACCTTCGCTCATTGGTGCATTTTCCCAGCAACCGGCTCATGTCCCCATGGCCATCATACACTTCCAAGTCCACACAGAAAGGGGTCAGGACATTCCTCTTTGCCAGCCGCTTATGGGGCTTTTCAGACCGCAGAGACCACAGCAGCCCCATGGGCTCCACTCCGGAATAGCTGCCGCCCAGGGCCGGGGCGCGAGCCAGGTCCAGCTCTCCGCTGCTGCCGGCCCGGTAGTGCGCGTGGGCTTGGAAGAGCTCCCCGCTCTCGTCGAGCAAGCGGGCGTGCAGCGTGACCGCCTGCTGCGGCCGGAGACCCGTCACGCGGATCTGGATGGGCTCGTCAAAGAGGCACCGGGGAGAAGGCAGAACGGCCACCTGCACTGCCATGCAAGCTCCTCCCTGGGGGAAAGGGGCTGGGGGGTTTTGGCAGGGCACTGGTGGTGTGGAGTGGGAATGTCAGCAGCTTGTCACTTCTGGGGCTTAAGGGCTGTGCTCAAAGTCCAGCAGGAAACACTGCCACTGTTTCCTTAGCCAAGCAAAGGCTTCTGGGAGATGTAGTTCACAGTCCAAGTCCACTTCATCCAGGAGGCAGCGTGAAAACACAACTAGCTTGCAAATAAATGACATGCCCTGTTAATCGTGATTTTACAGAGACTAAACTAAAAACCAAGAACTTCAAATAACAGACAGAAACATTCAAATCTCTCCCCCAGGCTACAGGAAAGTTTAGATTTCATTGTAGAATTGATTTATAATGTCAATTTAGCTCCTTCACCAAGGCACAGCGAACACAAAAAAATTGCAAATCTATAGTTCAACATTTTAATCAAGCCATGAAACAAGCCATGCATCTTTAATCTCTCTCAAGTTTTCAGCAATTTTTGGACAAGAACCACATGGTAAAATACATGATGCTTAGGCTTTAAGTGTGTTTTCTCTAAAAAACATCCCCTCCCTCAAAACAGACAAAGAATAATGACTGTGTTTCTCTTCAAAATAATCAATCCTATCAAAAGGCTACCTACATTTTCTTGATGAATATATATAAAATATTTTTTCACTATTGTATTTTAGTTGTTTCTGAGGACCTTTGAAAATCTGATAATAAAAAACAAATTTCAGTTACCATAAACAACAGTACTGCACTTCTGCAATGCCTCTGCACTTCATAGCATTCTAGTCCTACCCTGCAAGTCTCCGTCATGTGAACGTTCTCATTCTCCTCAGTGGATTAAGGCAGCAGAAAGAGGCTGCAGGTTCCCAGGACTTGCCTGACCACGTGTTTTGGCAGCACTTAATGCCACAGGACTCTCCTGATGAGCCATGTGACAAAGTGCAAAATCACAGATTCTGCCGCAAGACCATGGGTGATGGGCAGATTGACTGCAGACCTGAAACACAACTCTGAAAGCACCGCTCAGGATGTAAGAGAATGCAGCCACATTTAGCAACAAAACTGGCAGGAAATAAAAGTTGTTAACAAAAATACGTAGCTTAACATGAAAAACTGCCAGGATTGACCTAACATGCTCTTATCATCTCCACCGACCAGTGTGTTCGAAAGGAATCAGAAATTAGGCCAGAAATAAGCTTTTCAAGTGAATTTTATTGCAGAAGATGTCATTTCTCATCATCGAAACACCACAGATGGCCACTGAACATACTGAATTACAACTGGAAACATCTTTTGCCTTAAACCTAAGGTACACGTTGGACAGATGAGGACCAAGCCAAGCCTTCCTTGTTAATCCATTACTAAAACAATCTGAAGGAGCAGTCGTGCATCTATAGGGATTTCCAAAACCTCTGCTTTCCTTCAAATCTGACTTGGTTTACCAGCCCTGAGGCAAAACATGGAGACCTAAACATGCTATTACTGAACCTTCTACCTTCAAGCCGTAACAAATAGTCAATTGACCTGGACTCGGAAAGCAGAAAAGACACAGCTGTGGTTTCTTTGACAGGCTTTGTTGAGGATAACTTAATATTCGGTTCTGCCAGCTTGAATCACGTTTTGCTCCTGTCACAGGTGCTGCTGATTGTACCACATCAGAGAGGAAGATCACAAGCCTGAGTGTCCCACCTCCACTATAACACTTTCACAGCATTTGTGAGACAATCTAGGAGTTGATAATAGCTGTACTTTAGGTCATATTCCATGTCATACCAATAATTCACTGAGGAGACAAGAAAAAGGAAAAATATTCCTAAAGACAGAAGGTAAAAATATACGAACAAATTCATAGACTGGTTTAGACAGCTCAGTCAGCACAGGCTTTCCCTTATTGCTGACTGAACTCTGAAATAAGTAAAGCTTTGACTATAGTCAAGCATAATGCAAGCAAATATTAAAGGAGAGCTCTTTAACAGCACTGCCAATACAGCTCAGTCTTAATCCCAACCAAGCTTCCCCTCCCCCACCCCGAATCTATTCCGCAGTCCCTGGACTTGAAGCTGGAAAATATTTAGGAATAAGAAATGTCTACTTCTATTTAGGCCAAGAGTACTAAATACACAGAGTATGAATCTCTCTTTCTCTTGGTGTATAAAGAACAGAGAATTCACTAACAGCTTTAAATTTGCTTCTCCTTTTAGTTTTAGTGTAATAGCTGCCTATAAACAACAAGCAAAATACTATAATACTGTACCAGTGGTCTTGGAGGTGGATATATGTTAGACATCCACTGGACTAGGCCTGAAGATTATTGACTGTCAAGTGTAAACAGATCGCAGTGCACTTAACAGACAAATGGTCAATACACATGACAAGTCTCTATGCGCTTCAACAAGACAGAGGAAAATAAAGTTGCTAGAGGGCTTGTAACTGGAAACCTTTTTTTTTTCTAGATTGTCGCTAGGGACTGGTGTAGCCACACTTGAAAAAACAACCAAAAATACTGATTTACTGATGGCTTGGCTTTTTATTGCATATTGCAAACACTAAACACCTGCAATAACTGCAGTGTTATGCAAATACTGATGCTGACATTGCTCAACATATTTCATTTATTTTGTATGGGTAAGAGGTCATTATTCTAGATAGAGAAAAATAAAAATCCCTTTGTCAAGTCTTGCAAAACTTATAGGACATAAAGACAATATTTTCCACCTACACACCACATACACACACAAACACACACAAACACACACACACACCAGAAGAGCAGCGTTTGCATGTTTGAAATTCTGTAACTCTTTTTTTGGGGGGGAGTGGGGAGGGAGGAAAAGAGATGATAAGTCGTGCAAAGATTTATTCTGTGGAACAGTGACACGAGCATAGGGTTACTGGCAAAGTATCTTGGGCAGAGCAGATTTCAGCTCACGTGACAATTTAGTAGCTTCTATGTTGTCCCTGTTTACATGCCTAGGTCTCTTACCTTCTCTGGTTTCCTTTTCAACCTAAAAAGTTGTTTTACTATGTGACAATAGCATGCATAACACGCAATTTCTTCGTGAATGGCAGGCAGAGAGCCAACTTTGCAGCTGGCCAGACAAACTGCTCCATTCGAGGTTAGAACTGGATCATAATCACTGGATTAGTTATTTTTCTCCAAATTAGTGAACTAGTTTCTCTTCTGCTATGCCCCTAGCATTTGTTGACAATCCTAAGAATTACAGGCAAAGCACACAGTGAGGAGATAACCCCATGACATCTGCTGAAACTGTTCTCTCTCCCTGAAAGGAGGTAGATGATTTAAAAAGACCTTTGGTTCCAGTTGTTTTGCAGTGGGATAGCTAACCACACAGTCAGCACAGTTCAAAAACCGAGCTGGAAATGCTGTGTATTTTACCTGCTATACAGCCATGTGATTGCTGAACATGGTGGAACCAGAGGGAAGGGAGGTATAACATCTCACCAGCCTTCACTGTACACTGCAAAGGCTTTGCCTGAGCATAGTCTGGATACCTTTCCAGATCTGGGTTCAAAGGGTCAAGGGGGATCCAAGGCACCTATAGGAAAAGAGTACATATGTGGTAGTGACTGTGGCAACAAATTTCAGCAAGTTTCCGGAAAGACAACTGATAACAAACTTAGTAGCTTACGAAATATGCATTCTAGCCCCTCAAAAGGTTATAAACAACTATGAAGCCTTTTCCAATTCAACAGATAATGGGTCAAGGATGCCAGAATTTGTCCCCTTCAGTAAAACACAGAGGAAAAGGTGTTAAATGTCATCCACCACATTTCAACTAAGAGCATCCAGACATTACTGCACTGGGCAATACAACAGGAGGGAGCAGAGGAAAGGTGTAGACAGAGGAGTCTATCTCAGCCTTAATGAAATCAATTCCTTTATTTCCAATTATTGATTAATTTAAAACACCTCTACCAAATTTATTGAAGTTTTGTGTGGACAGGAGACAGTTTATGGTATCAGTGGTTTCAGATGGTTCAGAAAACAGTTTTTCTGAAAGCTAGTATTCTTTTCAAATAACAGAATACAAGCAAAATATCTGGGCATCCATTCTTTTTTCAGTAATGAAGGATTTCTAGGTACCTGCCAAAATGCTGATTTTGAGTGCTCAGCAACACTCAAAATTAATTTTACTACATAAGTTGGCAACATTCCTATTGTCATAAATTTACATTTAGAATTTTTACCTTATCTGCAGTTTTCTCATCAACAATTTCAAACGAGCCCTCTTCTGACACACGGTATGTTGCTGGCTGGTAGAGCTCTGGAATCAGAAAAAAAAAGATTAAATAACAGAAAAGCACACAAAGAAGCTAATGGCAGAGCTTGTCACATTCTTCCCAAGAGACAGAAAAATTAAAGCAAGATGATTATCAACCTGCTGTCTTCACTCTACTTCTCTTTGTTTAGCCCAGTCTTTATCCCATTGCCTACTATTTCCTTTCAAGTCTGTCAGAATGCTGAACAATGCCTTCTTGTCTGGATTTCTGCCTTTCTTTCATCACAAGCCTTACTCTCCCCTCTTCCTCAAAACTCATTTTCTCTTCATCCTATTTTGTTCTGATAACAGTCCCTTCTCCTCTGGAAGTCATAAATACATCCCTCTCTTACCCGGAATCCTGTATTCTGCCCTTTCTGTTAAAGTCTCTCTAGGATGCTACCAGGTCAACAAGGTAATTAAAGTGATTTAAATATTCTAAAGCTGAAGGTACTATTTTGCCTGGGAAAAAATACCTCAGTCTCACATGCAGCATTCTTCATTCTGCCTATCTGAATGCTTAAAAGCCTAGAAAAAAAAAGTCTCATTTCATTAGGAGTAAAGGTAAGCTGTGGATCTTCTAGCAGACATTTGCAATAAAATGTATTATTACTGTGCATGTCAGAAAGCAGCATGTAGAAACAGAAAATGGGTAAAGTAATGCTATCACAGGAATCTCTCTTTTCATTTCTCTAGTTTTCAGTGGTTCTGTTAGTAACTTTAATATTTTATTAATGTTCTTCTTGTATTTCAACTTCCCTTTTTTTCCTGGAGAAAAAAAATATTAACAGGCTGAATTCGAACCTGTTAAACATCAAAGATGACATGCTACAAGTATATGCTGACAATATACTTAAATAATTTAAATTGTCTAAAGCTCAAAAGACTGCCATGAGTCACATACTTAAAAAGAAGTCTCAATCTGGGGTCCATCATGTCTCCATCAGTGTCAACGCATTTTTTTTTAATATATAAACACAGCTGAGGACATTAACTCCAGTGGAATGCTTTTATATTACAATTTACATCCAGTATAAATGAGATTTCTGTTCACACTGGAAAGTATAACACTGCCTAAACATCAGGATGTTAGCCCTGCCTCCTGCATGTTTGTCTTTCACTGTCTCTTGCTCTCAGCCTCCCAATAGAAAGAGAGGCAATTACCTACCATATGGGATGAAGGGGCGGTCACTTGGTGGATGCAGTAGAAAATGTTTCTCTCCAGATATAACACAGTACAAGTTCTCATAGTGATCTTTATGTACTATGATTGAGGGGGAAAAAAAAGAGTAGAGAGAGAGAGAGAGAAAAGAATCAGTGTTTTCCTTCTTTATATCATACTTCTCTATAACAAACTACAGTAAACTGGAAGCATCATTTCATCTTCTCATTGCTAGGCTGCTTCCTACTCTTGCAGTCAGTGGGAGGGAGAAGCAACATAATGTTGTAGTGAACATGTTCATGGCAACAAGCTCTAAATTGCTTTCTCAGCAACACACAAAGGTACGTTACAAAAATGCATCTAGGAGATCTAGGACATCTACATCTAGGACAGAGGCTTTTAGCCGACTGGCAGAAAGTCAAGTGATCGGCTGCCTGAGAGGAGGTGGTATTTCTGGATATGATATATTCGTACAAAAATGCTGTAAGGTTCAGGTGGGCTAAGCAAAGCAGACACTGTCTCAACTGTTAATGCTTGGTGTAAGAAGGCTATAGGAGAAACAATAATCCTCTGGTACAGAATGCTAGTTTGGTTTGATCTGTTTTTAATCCAGCCTCTTAGACTGACAGGACAGAAATGACCAGTGCCTTGCTTGACAAAATGTGCAGCAGATGCACCTAGAGACACAGCTGTGAGAGGCTGCAGAAGGCAACGGAAAAATGGAAAGCTGTGTGTTAAAGCAGAACAAACACACAGGTCTACTCAGTTACCAACTTAAACCTTACTAAACTAGAGCTGAAAAGCACAAAGGGAACATACAGAGGCACGCAGTACGTACAAGATGTCACAGCAGCTGCTTCCCCAAGCCAGAAATTCACAGCATCAGGCTTCTTCCCTGTATGGTTAGGGGAGAGACACTTGTTTGCAACAAACACAGAATTTGAAGAGACAGGTTTGAAAGTGTTTCAAACATTTTCCTGCCAATTTGCTTTATTTCTGTCCTTTAAGTTCTTACATAAACGCGACAGGAACCACAGCTAATAGCCCTGTGTGAGGAACTGCAAGCTCCTTCTACACTGGACGCCATAAGAGGGATGCATCAGCATCAGTGAGGCAGTAGGAATATCCAGCCCCAAAGCCTCAGTTACAATCTCTGTTTCCCACATTCTGAATCCCTAGGACTTGCTCAAAGAGAAATGCAGCAGTTAAGAATGCAAGATTACAGTAAACTGACGTTCAAAGGAAATACGTTCAGTAAAATATAAATACAACCTGACATGGAGCAGCAATTAGCTAGTAGGATACAAATATCTGCAAGTTTATAATAGAGGTGGGGGGAGAGCTGCAGGTTTTGACAACTCTAGTATGAATATGCATTCAAACAGGACTCTAAGTCAGAAAAAAAAAAGTCATTGTATGGAAAGGAAATTTGAAATAAACACATTATTTCAGATACAGTGGTTCCAATACAAGTGAGATACCTGACCTTGGGGTAATTCAACACCCCAAACTAAGATTACTCTATTCTTAACTATTTTACCACTTCTACTGTCTGAGGAGATCAAAACAAATTGAGCTGTGCCAATCAAACTGGAACAAACATTCACCATGCACGCAGCATAACTGTTTTAAAGTTTTATATTCAATGTTTACTGAATACATGGGAAGATGGAAAGCTTACCAAGCGCCTCACTCATCCACGGTATGTCAGGCTGCACGTCACAAATGAGTTCAGGGAACTCCTCGGTGAGGTTTGAACACTGCTTCTGCACGTAGAATACATTGGGAGATGTCACTTTCTTCTCCACAATGTCCAAAAAGTCCATGAAAGGCATTTGACGCTCTTCTGGCATGACAAAACGGTCCTGAAACACGGCATCTGCATAGCCGTTGGGCGTTACTGCCACACTCACCACCTTGGGACCTACCACCTCCCTGCAAAATAAACCAAAGGGGTACAGTCAGACCTCCCATCAGTCCATATGCTGGTTACTTTAGAAACAGTTTGTCTCACGAACAGCAGAAATGGGAAGCCTGGTCTTGCACAGGGGGCAATCCTGAAGTTCTGCTCTGATCGCTCCCTACGCTCAAGCCCTGGTGATATCTCTGGACTCTTTCACATCTAATACAGGTGACCCTGAACAAAGTAAGCCCCTTTTTCATCCACAAAAGCCACTTTTTCCTCTTCAGTCGCTTTATTTCATGAATTATACTAGAGCTTGATACTCTCAGGGCTGCTCAACCCAACCAAAGCCTGGTGGCCAAAAGCTATCATGGAGGAAGAAAAGGTCAAATAGAGGTAGAAACACACATGTAGTGCTAACAGCCCTTAGCTCTATAAGAAAGTATATAAGACGATATTCTACATCTATAAAAAGATATTATAAGAAAATAAATTTAGAAGTGCAAGTGTTACTAAGAAGGGGTCCTTTATTGAGGTTAATGTAAACTGAGCACCCGTCTGGTTCAAGAGCTCACTCATACCTGAGGTACGCCAAGGTCCACGTCTTCAGGGCCGGCCAGTGACCGATGGCATTCTGAATTATACAAGGCTTGTTCGGACTCACCCACTCCCGATAAAACTCCAGAGGGGACGGAGGCCCATCCAGATATGGCAGGGACTCGGTGAGCCCCAGCTCTGTCCAGACAGATCGGAAACAGTCTCACCCGGTGCTGAGAGCAAGCACTCTTCACTAGGAGCCTCAGTGTTTTTAAACCCCAAACCATTACTTCCCCCAAGGGCAGGCAATACCACAGACTGCAGCCAGCACCCATTATTAAAATCTGTGCTTATCAGGCAACAAAGATTCTGTAAGAAGATTTTTTTTTTTAAGGTGAAACTGTACTTTTACTTTTTAATACAGGTGTAAATAAGGCCAAACGGCCGTTGACACAGGGTATATTTTCTTAAATAAATATATAAACTAAAACGCGGTCTTTCCGCCGCTCCTTCCCCGGCCCCCCGCCCCTCAGCGCGCGCCGCCGCAGGGCGCATGCGCAGCCCGGCCCCGCGCCCGCCGCTCCCTCATGACCGTTACTGGCTGTTAACGGCTCCCCCTTCCGCTGCCTTCTCGCGCGGGGCCGTTGGGCCTCCCGTACCCGCCCCGCGCGCGGCCCTCACCGCGGGCCTCCCGCGGGAAGGCGGCCAGGCAGCCCCTGACGGCGCGCAGCGCCGCGCCCTCCGCCATGGCCGCGCGGCACGGAGGGAGGCAAGGAAGGAGGGAGGGAAGGCAGGCGCCGCCCGCCTCCTCCCTCCCCCTGGCCGCCGCGCAGCCCAAGGGCGGTTATGGCCGCGGGAGAGGAGCCAGGAGAAACGCGAGCGCTGCCGCCGCGGCCGCCCTGCTCCCCGCCAGTCCCGGGACGGCTCTGTAACAAATGATCACATTTTTATTGAACCAGTTTAAGAGACGGAGTACAAATGGATTAACAGAGTTAAAAACAGCTTCCGCGGGGAAGCCTCACAGTGAAAAAAAAAAAAAAAAAAAAAAACCAACAAACGACTTTATAATCTTTCCAAATAATTAAAAAAAAAAAAGTTTCCGAGAGTTGTTTTTACCTAAAGCCAAAAGTATAAAAACACACGTTTATAAATAAAATGGGAGTTGGGTGGAATTTTTTTTTTTTTTTTTTTTTTTTTTTTAACAGTTGAAAGAGCAGTGTTGAAGACAACACGGAGCATCACCTTTGGGGTGGTGCCTGTGGCACACGCCAGACATGCAGGGCGGACATGGCTTGTTCCTAAGGTTGCTGCCCCAAGCGCTGCCCCGAGCATGCGTTATAGCAGGTTATCCCTAAAACACCGCGGCCGAGCCCACGTGCTATTTACAGCACACCCTGCAAAGTCCTGCACAGTCTAGGCTGCGCTGGAGAAGGAACCACCTGCTTGCGAGCACGCAAGAGCTGCAAGAAGTCCTGTCTTTATCATGATTTCAATGAGGTTTTCTGTCATTTAATAGTCCGGATGCTAACACATCCAATGCGAGGGGGAGGGAGGGGGAGAAAAATGACCTTATACATGCATGAATTTACCAAGGGTGCTTAAATACTTGTATCTGATTTCTTATATATAGTTATATACACATTCTTTCTTTAAAAAAAACTCAGTTTGTATGTTTTCTACTCCTTTAGAGAAATGTCCCAATTCCTCTGAGGTGTGAAGAACCCAGCAAAACGCAAGCGGGGAGAGAGGGGGTAGAGCGCTATAAGGCCTGCCCCAACCACGACCTGGGAGATGCTGTAGAAAAGAGGAGACAACCTGAGAGGAGGCACAGAGGAAACAGGGACTCCCCTAAGCACCCACCTGCTCCTGAGGGATGGGGAGGAAAGAGCAATTTGCTGGCAGCAGGATGAGGGCAGGCAGCGGCTCCTGCCTTCCCTGCTTCCAGCACCTCCTACCGCACCGCTTTGCAGGCCAGGGAATGAACCACGGTTCCCTCAGGCTGGGTGACACAATTTACAGTTGAGATGAAAAACAGTTCTTCTGGTTTCGGCCAGGACCGCCGGACACGAGGGACAGTACTATGTAAAGAGGAGCACAGATAGGTCCAAATTCTTTTCACAGTCTTTGTTAGACTAATCATTTGTTCGAATACCTGCCTGGTTGCACCTATGCTAACAACCACCGGCACCAGTGAAAGGAATGGATTCCAATATTACCACCTCCATCAAGCTGCTTCACTTCCCAGGCAGTTGTCATTCAGTATTTTTCTACCTGACCTAACAGACAGCTTACGGTGAAACATACTCAGCCAGGGGTAACCAAATATAACACATTTATGCCCTCTTTGCACTGGAAACTGATTTTCTTTTGGGGGAATAATTCCTATTGCCAGCAATAGAAAGTCATCCAGAAAGATTCAGTTGCATCCTCATCTCATCAAACTTGTGGCACTACTCTCTTCTACTACTCAATTTGTAACGTACATGCCTTGTTCACAACTTTGCCTTTAAAGAATAGCTGCTTAGGGGACAACAAGTGGGAAAAAAAAGAGCCCAAGAAATACAGCTGCAAAGCATCTATTCAACACATTCTTAAATTAACAATCACCAACTCTACCCTAAATCTACTTTCCTTAAGCCTTTGTGTACTGCATCTTTCACAGCTGTTGGCCAACAGTGTTCCTCAAGCCAACATTGTCTCTAACTTATTTCCCTGAATGTCCTACATCTACTACTCTATTTCCAATTACACTACCACCCTCCAACTAATCTACTTGCTTGACACCTCTCTTACCATCATTCTGATTAGAATTTAGCCTCAGTTGTTTTCCATATGCAGCCTTGATCATAGGCAAAATCCCTTCCACACAGCAAAGCCCCCCAATTAGCATAAAAAATATCAGATTTGCTTCATGTGACTTATTTCCAAGGCACTTTATTTCATATCTCTCTGTGAACTTCACTGCTTGTTGCTTTTCTTCTTGATGAGAACTGCAACATTATCTGTTCATTCTGGCCACTCGCTCTCCTATATTATCTCTGATCCCTTTTGTCACTATCTTATACTTTAAGCAATAAAATGGAATAAAATTGCACAGGGAAGTAATATAAAAGACCCCCAAGCCATTATCTTCAATACAAAAAGATACATGGGTTGAAGGGACTGCTATTTTACCTGAGTGTCTCGTGGCCCCAGCACAGCAAAAAGATTCCTGTGTACTGGGGACATATGTTCACAGTCTGAAAGTGGATGAAGAAAAGAAGCATCACCTCAGAAGCAAGCTTGACCCAGACCAACTCCATCACTCGTACCACCATCCATGCCGCATGCAGCACCTCCAGCACACCCTGCACTCAAGGAAACTCCCAGAAAATTCCTCTACTTTTCAGCTCGTCCTCCTTCACTAAACTTTTCTCTGCAAGAGACACTGCCCATGAAAGCCAGCACCTCATCTAATTCAATGCAAGGTTGAAACAGGACTTGTAAAGTTTCAGTACAGCCCCATGGAAGGAAAGCTAGCAAGAACATCTGACACACAAGATGAGTCAGGCTGAAATTAGAGGTGGAAGTAGCTGGAAAGCCCTGGAAATGCTCCCCATCCTGCCAAGCCCTGCAGCAGCCAGCAACGAGGACCAGCCAACACACCTGTGGTGGGAGAGCAAGAACAGCAGATTCCCCGAGCCCTGGGGCACGCTGAGGAAAAAGGTCATCCAGTGCCAGCCTGCCCAGCAGAAAGGCAGGAAAACCAAGTCAGTCAACAGACTGAATGTCAGAGCGCCCCAGGGTTTCAAAGAATGGCCAAACCAGCCAGAACAATAATGTAACATAAAAATGCTTTAAGCCTTTAACCTGTGGAACAACATGTCGCAGTCTGGCCACCTTTAAGTGACTTCCATGGACACACAAATGTATACTCTTACCCACCAAACGCTTCAAGCTTCCTTGCCTTCTTTTATAAATTGGAATTGTACTGCTCTGCCTCCAATACAAGAAAGAATGGAGATGGAGGAAGAAATAAAGCAGTCTGGGTATCTATCTCCACTGTGAGAAGGAGGGGAGGGGGATAAAAGGGGAAGGTGCTAAAGAGTTTTTGTTTTTTGTTTCCTCCTCCTCTCCATTAGCTTGTCATCATCACTAGACAGTTTAACCCATCTAGGCTGGATTAAGTCCCACAGGGTGAGAAGAGTATTGCACACACAAATACAAGGGGGGAAGATTCTCTGTTTCTCAGTCAAGAAATTCATGAAAGAATCTAGGAGGAAAAAATGGTAGTAAACACATCCCAAAATACTTGTTTGGAAGTCTGTGACAAGACCATTTTCTGTGGATAGTTGAAATAGCTTTACAAAAGGTAACAGAATCCCACCATTCTTGGAGTGTAAATATTTTGCCTCTTTGGAAAAACAAGAACAAAATGTTCTCCTATCAAGACAATGAAATCAACATATTATATGAAGCAGTATTTAAATTGAAGATTTCTCATATCCAAATTTATGCTGTAAGGGATGGAACGCAGGTCTTCCACGTCACTTCTTTAACAAATAAATCATCATCCCCAAATTTTCCAGAGTCAGCGATATTAAAGTCAACAGCCAATTCCTAATCATGAAAAAAGGCTGAAATGAATGTTCATATTTGCATCTACATCCCTTCTTTTAGAGCATCTGCAGAAAAAATCCATATATCAATATAATATCAAATTCCAGGCTAAAATTTCAATACTGATCTTAAATAATCTCCAAAGCTTGACCCAAGGCTTGCAGAATTTTCTCCTTGAGGTGAACACGGATCAAATACGGTGTGGGGACTGTCCTTAAAGAAAGAGAAAAGCCAACAGGGTAGTCACGATAACAGTAGAATTACTGCAGGTACCAAACTCAGGCAGGAAAAGAAAGATGAACAAGACAAGATTTAAGCAGAAAACAGTTCAGTCATTGCACAGACACTCCAGCCTGTCTCCCTGTTGGGGGTTTATAATACAGAGATTGTTTTTCGCAGGGATATAGCAAAGGGATTACCTTTTTTTAAAGGACAAAGGAAAAAGCCACAAACGTGACAGAGCAACAGTCAGAAAAATAAATTAATAAATAAACACATAAAAAGTCTGCTTCTGGATTCTGATGAAACCCTGGTGTGAAAAGGATTGGCTTCACTTGGACTCCTTTGTTTTTAGTCAGCAGTTCAGAATTTCCTTGGATAAACTGGATTTTCCTTTGTTTAAGTGCCAAACATCCTGACATCCTGGCTATGAAGAAATTTCAAAGAAATTTCTCCAAACTCCTCTTTCAAGACTTTGTATAGAGACAGGAAGTTGAAGAGCATGGGAAAAAATATTAAAATTGTGGCCAGCACATTGCTAAGAATTAGAGCATGTCACTTGTATGGGCTTGAGGATGTCAAATTTACAAAGGCCTCCCCACCACCTCGACCAGCACGATAATCCATTTGTCCAAGGCTTCTGTGGTCCTCCTCTTGGGATTATTTCCGTGTATCCACAAACACCTGAAAAAGACCCCTTTAGAGTTTTTTGTCCATGCGCCGTTCCACAGCTTGTAGCAACAGCTCTGAGTACTGCTCCAGCAAAGCTAGCGTCTGCTCATCCCCCAAACTCTTGGGGCTGGGGAGATTGGCACTGCATCCCTCATTCAGTGGCTTAGTGGTATCCTGTGGCTTCACCAGAACCTCCTTAGCCTTTGGAAGCTCTTCTTCATCTTTTAGGGAGTCCAATTCTTTCTTCACTAAGGAGAATGTTTCTGTCAGGAGACCAGCTATCTTATCTTTGTCAGTAGAAGACTCCGTATCATTTAACACCTGAAAACAAAGAAGCAAAAGAGGGCAGGAGAGTGGGGAGAAGACATTGGTATTTAGACCACAAAGTTAGACATTTCAGCCCTTCAGGGAACTGAAGCCATAATCAAGATTTACAGACTACTCAAGTGTCATTTTAGCCAACATGCAAGACTGCCAGTTCAGTCACACAGCAGGGCAGGCATCCAAAACAGCCGGTCATACAACAACCAAGGCCATTACTCCAGTAGGATAGACACGGGATTCCCATTTTGGGGTAGCGCTCCCCTTGTTAGGCCTAAAGAAGGGCTGTGTTCCCCCGCTCTAGCACAGGCCAACGCTGTTTTTCTTCTCATGGGACAAGTGCTGCTGGTCAGCAGGACCCAGAGGGGTCACGGAGTGAACGCAAACACCAAGGTGAGAGCTGCAGAAGGGCAAACAGCAGCAACGCCCTGCACGAGTTCCCTGCTTTACCAGAGACTTCACAGGGCAGTGCTTTAGCAAAGGAAACAATAGCTATTGTATTGCTCTGCATTTAGCTCTGGTCTGGTGCTAAGGGGGACTAGCAATAACTGCCTATTCCCTCTTACAGCTGCATTCCCATGCTATTGGACATTTGCTAATCCTCTTCCAGGCATCAAAGACTGAGAACAGAACTGGATAATAAAATTTAGAGCTGCAACAATATTTCATCTATCTGAAGTGCTCTATAAATCTTAACTAATTCTTTAATACTCCTTGGAGAAAGAGCATGCTGTTATCTACAGTTTACACGTAGGCTAAGAAGGCTGAAAAGTTAATTGATTTGCTCAGAATACCACAGCAAACCACTGGAAATAAAACAAATGTTTTAGGAGTTCCTGTCTCCCAGACTGAAGCTTAGCTGCAGTCAAGCAGACAAGCAGGCAGCTTCTGTCACTAAACACCTGGTGACCAAAACACTTTGGCTGTAGAGCCCGGGGGTGTGGAACGTGCCCACGTGCTGGCTCAGCTGCCCAAAGGGGGTCAGTGCCTGAGGTCACTCACTCACCGCGCGGTAGAGGTGGATGGCTCTGCGCATGCTCTCCTGGAGCTCAGACACCACGTGCTCGCACTGCTCTACGCTGATGCAATGCTCTGCAGGGGAGGCAAAACATAAACACACAAGGTAAGGCACAGAGGCACTCCAGTACCTGCCATCTCCCAGACAGACAAGAAAACCAATACTTCAATACATATATAAGATCATACTTTTCATCGTTTGAGCCAATCATTAAATGGGCAAGTTCAGAAACCTTCCTTCCAGATGCTTCTTGTCTCAAACATTCCTATTTGTCTAGTCTTTAGCCTCGCCAAAGTTAAAGTGATTTCTATCAGACTTCACAAGGATATTACAAGTTGAGGATCACCCTGTCTGATCAGAGATCACCTACACACTGTTCTCTTTTTTGGGAGACCAAAGGGATTTTGGGAGACCATCCCTCAAAGGGATGTTTGAATGAATCCCCAATGTCAAAAGGGACTGACCTGAGGAGCCCAATTTAGCTTCCACCCCTACTTGACACTCTACGTACTCTCCTGCAGAGAAGCTAATGCAGATAAAGGATTATGCTGACTTATTGCAGTGTTCTCTAGTGAGAATTGAGGTCCAGAGGAGTAGGAGTACAGTTTAAGACTCAATCAGTTCTGGGCAAAGCAGGATTTGCATTGCTAATAACAATAATTATTTGAAAACCAAAATAAAAGCAAAACAACAAAACCCCACCACCTTCAGCCCTCATGAGACAATATTTCCAAGGTGTCAGAGCTGAAGGCCCGCAATGCTTAAAAAAAAAAAAAAAACACTTTCATGAGTTAGACATAAATCATGAACACAGACACACACACACAATCTGCAGTTATTTTCAATTTGCAAAGGCTTGCACAAATGTTGTTCAAGTTGCTTCAGTCACCTAAAAAGATAAAAACTTGTTCATAACAGCACTGTTATTTCTATGCTTCTTACTAAGCAGGTCACATTTGGACAGGCTGCAGGGACCTCAGTGTCAAGCTAATTATATAAATACATCTAAAGGAACAAACAGACATGAATCAATTCTTCCATCTGCATTCTTTGCTCCTGAATCACCCAGCTTTTGCAGGGTGTGGGCAGGGGGCTTCAGTTCTCTTGTCTAAGGTTCTTGCCTTCTGGTTTTGTGGCTTTTTGTTTTTTAAAGCATGGCACTTTCTTGTGAGGTTGTTTCTGGACTTGTCTTCTTATCACTCTTTTGTGCTGCTCTCTATCAGCCTGGAGAAAGGTGACAAACATAACACAAATGCTGCTGACAAGGGAATTTTCAGCCTCCTGGCTGTGGACAGCGGACTTCCTCAGAAACCAGCAGGGAATATTAAATACAACAGCAGTATTTTCAACACATCTACAACTTTTTTAAACCTGTAGATCTCAAAATGCTCCTTTATCATCACATGTGCTATAAGCAAGAAAATAGAAGGAAAGAAAAATTAAGAAAAATGGAGTACCAACCTCATAGAACAAGTCAAGAGCAGAATAGATTTTAAAGGACTATAGGTCTCCAACTGCCAACTTGACACTTCTAATCTAACTACCCATATACTGGGATCCATAGATGCTTGGATCCACAGCATGCTTGGATCTAAACATCTTTTCTGTCGTTTTTGACTAAATATTTGGAGAGAGCGGCCTGCAAGAAGCTGAAGGCCAACTGATCAAAACAAAAGGTTGAGCATCCAATGCAAAGAACATGGAACTCACTAAAGGATGCTGCTCAAATTCCCTGCCAGGATGTATTACGTGTTAGGAGCAGATTAAAAATAAAAATAAATCATAATAATAAAAAATACATCACAAATCTTAGGGCCTTTAATCCCTCTAGAAACACAACAGTGCATGAAGGGTGACTCTGCAATGAGTTTGGTTACTGGTGCAGTGAATAGGTGAGGTAGCCTGGTACCACAGATAACTGATCACAAAGTTATAAAGAGGTGCCTCAAACTCACATGTCACTTATGGTACCAATGAGATCAATACAGCAAAAGAGTTTAAAAAATTGTGCACTGTTTATTCCCCTGAGTGTACAAGGCACAAATGCACTGGTTAAGCTCCAGCTTCCTACTGTATGAGTCAGCTGAGTATTTCAGGAAGGGGTACTGCCTTGCTTCTTGACACATAAAGGAAAAATCTCTGGAGACGGCAGCCTTGAAGCTACTAGGGCATTTGCTTCCATTTGGAGTTACCTGCAAATTTTCCAATTGACTGAAGTACCTTAAACTTGAGCCTGTTTTTAGTGGGTAAGATAGCTGCCCAGCTACTACCTTTTCTCTCAATTTCAAAATTGCTTTGTATGAATCCCAAGCTCTAGACACTTAACCCCAAAGGCTAGGCCTGTGTGTGCATTACGTACCCAGCTTGCTAGGTCCAGCTGACAGACACCAGACCTGCACTTTCATTTCACTGGTGTCCTGAGGGCAGAATGGGACGTAGCCAAGGGACACTAAGGGGGATTCTCAAGTCAGTTGTTAGTGTTGACTGAAAGAAGCTTGAGCACCTAACAATGGAGATTTATGAAGACAACCACGTGGGTGCTCAGCTGTACAAAACATTCAGCTAAAAACAACCTTCAGAAATAAGACCAAGAGGAAAGGGAAATTAAAAGACTGAGAAAAAGAGGTCAGGCTGAAGAAGTCTCTCACCATTGAGGGGATGGCTTATGGAACGAGACAGGTGCAGACAGGACGAGACAGGCCAGAAGCTGGACGTAAAGAAATGTGATGGGATCGTGAGGCGGTTCACAAAGACAGGAGACAGAAGGGGGAAGATAAGAGATGGGTATCCATGCACACCTGAGACCTGTGCCGAGGCCGTTAGAGACGTAGGAGACCTCGGCCTGATGGGGTCTAGTGGGCAAAGTCCAGGCTGCTCGTCTAGCACGCAGGCAATGCCGGTGGTCATCTCCCTGCACCGGGGCAACGCGCTTGCAGGAGACCTTTGCTGCCGGCCTTCTGAAAACTCTCTCAGCTTTGGGTTCGTGACCCCTGGCTCATCCTGGCAATCTGTCCTTGAGCCCAGACTCTCCGTTGGGCTGTCCTTAGTAAGTCCTAGTGGAGCCTCTTTACCAGGAACCAGAGGCCCAGTAGTGTGATTCTCCCTCTTGGAGGATCGGCCTTCAGGAAAAGGCTTCTTTTTACAGGCCCCAGCAGGTGACTGTGGAGACTGTGGCTCAAGCAGCGTTTTGGATTTGGTAGTGGGTGAGAAGGAGGCCAGCGTAGGTCTGTCAGGTAATGGCTTAGGAATGTCAAGGATCAGGTGTGCTCGATTTGACGATGCCAGCTTGCTGTGAAAGGACTTGGGAGACGAGCAGTTTACAACTGGCTGAACTGTTGGCTTCACTGGAACATTTTCTTTTTCCTTCACTGGTAGCTTATTCTTCTCAGCCTCTGCTGGGGGAGTGAGTTGCATCTTCTCTGCCACTGGAGGGCTAGTCCTCCCCTCAGTCAACACTTCAGCAGAGCAACCGAGATACAGGTTTTCCCCTACAGATATACTCCTTGACATCTTAGCCCGGAAGCTGGTCGTGGGGTTCATGTAGGACTTGGGTTTTGCAGCCCTGACATCTTTGGCCAGCAGAGCACCAGATCCATCCATCTTCAGCAAACTGGCTGACAAGACCCTGCAATTGTTAGGTCTGGGATCTTTCTCAATCACCGTAAGAGTCTGAGGACGCTGCTTGGCAGAGGATACCACTCCAGGACCCTTATCTGTGAAAATTAAACAGACAAACATACCAAAAATAGACAAGAGTGTGCAGTGAATTCTAAAATTGGGAAGCATCAGAGCTGCTCCAGCCTATGGACCTCAGCTCAGCCCTTGGAAGAGATGTACAGAACCACTACTTCAGGTTGACATCACCTAGTCTTTCCCATCCCTCATTCTGCTAACACACTATTGCCTATCTGATCAGAGATGCTTGTTCTTAAAACTTAAGGTGAGATCATCTCAGAAACTACTATCATTAACAGAAACCAGAAGAAGCAGGCAAAAGCTGCCAGTTCTTTTTAACTTACTCACATATACACGGTGCTGCAGCAAGAGGCTTATTTTCTAAAAACAAGCAGTGCTTGCTGAAGGTTCATGAGTTGGCAGTTTCAAAGGTGGAGTTTTCACACAGAGTGCACAGACAGCAAGCTCCCTCTTACTGCCCTTCTCTTTGCCCCTTCTTTCTTCCCCACCCTGCACTGCTTCAGTCTTGGCCTGCAGCAAACAACTCATAGCAAGAGAGCACTTCTTCGCAAATGGTTCATTTCACCCTTGGTATCCATATTCCTCTTTCCACTGCTGCCAGATGAGGATCAGAGACTGATAATTAGGAGATCAGTCTGCATTACAAGTTAGAAGTGTTTTCCCTTAACAGGCTAAGAGTTAGAAGACACGCAAGCTGTCTGCCTGTAGCTCAGAATGCAAAAGATGCAAGATTCATTTAAATCACTGTTCAAGCTCCAATCTCCTTATTTCATCCTCGGGTTTATATCCTCATTCCAGCCCATGTCCTTACCCTCATGAACGAGGTCATGAACGGACTGTGCCTTCCTCATCACTGCATTCACAGGGCCTTCTGGAAAGGAGGCCATAACTCGGCCGGGCCCCATACCAACTCGGCTGCTCTCTAAAGCCGACTTGCGTTTCTTCTGGGCATAAACAGCCCGATGGGAATTCACACCCTCCAGGAGGTGGTCGTTCTCCAAGGCATCACCAGGATGGCTGCTGCCATTTTTCAGCAGGTCCGGAGCAGTCCCATTGGTCTGGGCTGGAGGCTCGATGCTCTTTGAATCCAGTGTCAGATTCGATGAGGAGAGGGACAAATATCTAGAGAACATAATGAAGAAATTCGAGTTGAAATAAGTAAGTAGATTGCCTTGGATGAAGAGGCACACACATTAGGCAAGTTTCTCCAAGATAAAGAGCCTTTTCCTTCCCTGTTTGGATTTGTTACATCAAAATTGTCCTAGGCTGTTACACTTCACTTGAGAGCCCAGGTCTTCAAGCATCTCACCTTACGTTGCAGGATGAGAGCAAATTAACACAAATAGTACTGGGTCACTGTTTCAGGGAGGGACTTTGTAAAAGGTAAAGGCAGGATACAAGGAAAAGTTCCAGGAGGAAGGAAGACTGGGTAAGGTTGGGCAAAGTCTTTCCTCTCAGCTCATCCTTTCAAACACCAAAATCTTTTTACTTCTTTTTAAGGTACCCCAATAGAGGCTATAACACTATGCAAGGACAGTTACCATCAGAACTGTCAGTATCTTCAAGAGAAGAGACTAATTTCCTCTTCACTCCACTCCAATCAAGTAGAGCAGCCTTACCTCAGAAAGCAGGTAATCAATCTGCCAGGTTTGACAGTCAGATTAAAAGTCTAGAGCTTGCCGTGAGTTTAAGCTACTGCCTTTATCACACCTGCTGAGTGCCAGTGACATCCTCCTCCCACCACTGCAGCTCTGCAGAAGCCTTTACCAGAGCCACCCTCGGGCCCTCCTCCCCGGCAGGCGCCGCAGCCCCTGCGCAGCGCTGGGAGCTGCCTGTGAACAGCAGGGACACGAAGCTCCGCATCAGGCTGCATCTGGACACAGCCTAAGAGATGCACCCGGCTCTGCTCGCGTCTGCACGCTGAAAGCAAACCAGTCTGAGCGCGGGCTTCAAGTTATCATTTGAAGAGAACAGAAGAGGAGCTTTAAACATTTATGGAACAAAACCAACAGGCATATTTTCAACTTTTTGAGTGCCAATGGAAACACTTTGAAGAAACCCTTTGGGGGGTTCTGGAATTGCCTTTTTTCTTTTTTTTTTTTTTTGGGGGGGGGGGGTAAGAATAATATTCCTATAGGGCTTTGTATCAGACAGAGCACCCTGCAAAGGCATGGGACCAATGCATGAAGCTGAGTAAGAAAGGCCTGTAAAACAAAGGAGAAGTTAACCAGCCTACTTTCATTGTCCAAGCTGAATGAAATGCAAAAGCATAAACATACCATAAATGGTGAAAAGAAAATTAGATGAACTAAATTCTTCCAGGTTAATCAATTAAGACATTAATCATGAAGCAGTTAAGCATATTATTGAAAAAGGAACAAAACAGTGTTACTTTATTAAGAAACAGAGCAGCTGATGTGATACAGAATGGCCTGTCCAAATCAGAAGGGACCTCAACCAACCTGCCAGGCACCTGTGCTAGGAACTCATTCTGCCTGGGAACATTAAGCTCAGAGTCTTCTGCCATACTTTGGCCCAGGGCCAAGCACAAGATTATTCACACATTAGTAAAAACAAGACAGAAACAGAGCCATACCTGAGAGCTGGGGACTGGGAAAGAAAGCGCGAGGAGATGCTGAGGTTTTCAGTTCTTTCCAGAGCTCTACATGAGCCACCTACAAATTTGGGTGAAAGGGAGGAAAAGGAATCATTTAGTTACAGATCCAGATATAAACATTCTGACAAATGCATTTTGTTATCACAGATACTATCAAATGCTTCTCTGTATCAAAGGAGATTTTTGAGCTAAAAAAACCCCAGAGAATAAATTATTTAATCTTCTTTTCCTTGTCTGTTTTACTCTGATTATAATTTCTCTGCCTTGTACTGCCAGTCTCCCTATGGGCATCCCTCCTCCTTTTTCTCCTCCCTTTGTGTCCTGTCCTGCCTGTAGGACAGTGAGGCACCAATACTCAGCAGAAAACAAGCCAGTGAAGGAGAAAACAATCAAATGGACAACTCACAGAGATATTGCTACCTGCAAACCACTATCAATTCTAGAAAGATACTCTTTGTTCTCAAGTTGGTCGATAAGGACTAATCAGCTCCTCTTCCACTCTGATGTCTCCTCTTACTCTCCCTCCTCCCAGCTTTTCAGCCTTTTCTTTTGTGACATCTGCTATGCCTTTGTAGACCACTAGAGGCCCCGATGGGGGGGGGGGGCGGCACAGTCACACAGCTCCGGTGTGTGCACATGCACAGGAGTTAGAACTAGTGCTGGAACAAGAGAGTGGCTCTGCAGGAGCCCAAGGCGATACTTGATTCCACCGGTCTGTAGATAAGTTTCTACCGATCAGTTGGGCTATGGGTCTTTGGGACATCAGAGACCTATTGTTTCAGTGTCTTTACCTCCATTTCCCCCTTTTCCCCTCCATGTAGGCATCATATCCTTGCAAGCCCATCAGAACTTGCAGCCTTGATTGGTTTTTAAAGCAGACAAATCTGGAGTGATCTGACAGAGAAAGTCCTTCCACTGAGCAGAGAGCAGTACCTTGTCCGTCAGTGCTGCCCAAGGTCCCAAAATGCTGCTTGAGGAACTTTTCCTGATCCGGTATCTGAGGGATTTCTCCCTCCAGCAGGCCAGTACCTGCATCATCTTCTCCCTCCTCTCCCTCCAGATCTGAGATGCCATCCACACTTAGGGGCTCAGTGCTTTCAGAATCTGTGAAGAGACAAAAAACACTAATAGCATCATCACAGTAACAGCAGTCAGGTTAGGACAGATAGTAAGATGCTAAATTAAACTGAGCTGTTGAACTAGTCAGCATTAGGTGCATTTCTCTAATCTAGTATATTCCAGAAACAGCACAGCCTATGGGATACGGAACACGAAAGCTACCACTCTAGTTAGCAAGACAGAAGAGAGCTGAAGGTGCATATGGAAAGCGAGTTTCAACCAACCCATCCTCCTTCCAAGGTGGACTCACTGAAGTGCTTGAAGCTTTATACTAACACTGGAAAGGTTTTCATGGAAGTATGACCTCAATTAAGCTCATAAAGAGGATCAAGTATTAGAGACCAGGATAGGAAATGATAAACATGGCAAAAAATAACCTCTGCAAGTTCCTGCAGTGCTCCACATCAGATATAAATAGATTATAAATATGTCTTTGCATCTTACCTTCATTTGGATGATCTGGGCTGGACAGGCGACTGCTGCTGTAATCTACAGAGCAGGCACTGTCAGGGCTGTGTTTGTCTGGGCATCCATTACTGTGATAACCTCTACTTAGCTTCCCATGCGGCAGCGCTTTTACCTGGAACTCACTACAAAAGAGACAGCAAATTTCCAACACTAGAAGAGATATTTACATTTTACATTTAAAGGAACAGATTCTGACTTGAATAAGGCCTTACCTGTGTTAGTAAACCTTTAGCTATTACAAAGATAAGGCTTTAAAGAGAGAAAGAAATTGATTTCTGCCATCATTATACAGTATATTTTTGCATTTCATTAAGCTTGGACAGTGAAATCTCAAAGAGACCGTCTTGACTTTCTGGGCATTGCCAGTCTTCCATGATTAGCAGCGTGGCACAGTCCTGACTTGATGATTTCCAGCACAGCTGTCGAAAAAGAGACTAAAAATAGGCCTATATGTACTTAAACTCCAGGATGCCATAGATTTGAGCCCTAATCTAGTAGCTGCTAATCTAGTAACTTTTTCTATATTTATGACATCCTTCCTTACTCCACTTCAGATCCCCAAATGCTGCAAAACAGAAAATTCTGGGTTTAAACAAGACTAGAGAACACTCTACAAAATACAGTATTGTAGAATTGTGTTCCTCATTCTTGTTGTGATTTTACAAGCCTGATTTTGTCGAGAGAAACCATTTTGTCTTTTGGGTTACCCAAAAGGATTTCAGCTTCCCACTCTATGAAAATACTTTGGTTTCAGATGTACTCAATGCTAGATAGGATGAAGAAGTCAACCAGTGTAACCGAGTGGAAATCACCCTGGCAGCTTGCAAACTCTGAGTGCTCTGAGATATGTCCAGTCTGCATCCAGCATCACGAGAGGGCCTCTCTTTCTGACATGTTGGAAGAGCACATGGTCTGTTCTGTCTAAATGTTATCATAATAAAATTAAAAATGTCAACAAAGAGAAACTGGGAGAAACGCAGCTTCAACTGCAAAATCATGGTATGCACTACTGCATTAAAGCCCAATTAAAGACATCAGCCCACTCTTTGTACCAGAGCAGCAGAGACAGGGGGAATCAAACTGCTATTAACATCAGGTTAGAGGGGGAAGCAGGAGCACAATTCAGGGAAGGAAAAAGCATGGAGCACGGAATAAAGAAAGTGAGGTAAATATAAAATAGAAGAAACAGCAAAGGAAAGAGAAAGCTCTCTTTACTTCCTGCAATGTCCCTTTAAATACCTTCTAAGTCAGGGAACACATATTCTAAAACATGGTCATTACCTACTATATTTGCTAAATTCTTGCCCAATTGCTTTTGAAACTGTCCCAGGTCTTTTCTATTAGATAGGTATTTCACAGGCAGATAAGCCTCACCGTCAAGAGGTTTTCCAGCTTTCCAATTTTTGCTTATTTCAATCCAGATAAGGAAGAAAAAAAAGGCTGCTCCCAAGTTGTTTATTCAACAAGAAACCTGAGGAAGTTGTGAATATGCAGTTTTCTCATGAGGAAAGATTGTTTTAATGGTGTGTTCTTAGTTCAGCTTCCTTTAACATTAGGTGGCCATAAACCCCTTAACTAAACCTGGCATCAATCAGGCAATAAATCAACTCATCTAAATTACCACACAAGCTGCAAGCAAGCTAAACAAGGAGAAAGAGCTGAGCCATGCACAGCAGAGAGCTTATTTTTATTTTTAACCTGCTAGGGTCTGTGGGATGGATTTCATCTTGCTCAGGGTAGATTACACACTCCTCACTCTCACAAGGTTCCAGTTCCTGAGAGAAAATCCCCTCTTCACAAGACACCAGCCGAATCACTTGGGGTCGTGCACAAGACCGGTTGTCCTGGGTAGTTATTGAGCCTCCAACCTAGTACAGAAATAGAGAAGGACTAGAGATTACCTGTGTTTTCCTTTCAAGTCAGCAGGTGCTATATATATATATATATATGTATTTATTTATTTATTTATTTATTTATTACTGTATAGGATACAATCAAAAATCTGAGATTAGAAAACAGTCCTGTCTTTCATTTTTATTTACTTCGCTAGACTGTCTATTGCTCTAAGTTTCTATTTTGTTTCCCGTTTGTAATTCCCTAAGTCTCCAGTGAAGTCACAGACTTTCCCCATCCCTCTCTGCCCCATATCACAAGTTTAAGCCACATTGCAGCAGGCTCATTAGTTACCTTTTATAGACTGACCACACACACTTCAGAGAAGTTTGGCAGCTATAAATTCAAAACTGCTGATTTACTGCATGCAAAGAACCCCATCTTTCCTTGATCACAGTTATAAAAAGCAGAATAATCCCAGTGAAGTTTCACACCAGAAAAGACTGCTACTGGGAAACAGGTATCAGCCTTCCCAGGTAGGAAAATGCACAGCTTGTTGCAACCCACAGACACAGATAGCATGGACAGGTCTAAAAACAATAATCAAGTCAGGCCCGCAGGAAAGGGTCTCATATGAGCCACATTTCAACTGCTACTGCAGTTAAGAAACTCTACCCCATCAGAATGAGATAAAAGGTAACAAGACACACAGATCTGAAGCTCAGCTTCTCAGCTTGTAGCAGCCATAAGCAAGCAAATGGCTATGAGAAAACACAGGATCTTTCCCACTTGGGAGAAGAAATCTTGTTCCCATATGAGCTCTGCTACAAGACTGCACAAGAGCAACAGAATCACATTTTGAAGAGCACTACCTACAAGGGATGAGCTGGACTAGCTTTCTCCAGTGGCATTTAAGAGATTTTTAAGAGACAAAGAGTGGTGTCAGATAGTAATAAATGTAGTTGATAATTAAGAGAGGAAGAATGGATACAGAGTACATTCATTCCCCCAAGGAAGTGCTGCCCTTACTTTGTTCATGTGCACGAGGAGATCGGCCTGCTCCTCTCTGTCATCCCCATTGCTGTTTTGGGACAACGAGTCTCGACTTGGGGAACGGGAAACAGAGAAAGACTCCAGCTGACGCAGGTCGAGCATGGACTTCACCGTCATCTCGATGCTGCTGCTCGGCTGCGACCAGCGCCCGCGCTGCCGGGGCATCTTGCTCACGGCTGCCTCCGAGCGCTGGATCGCGGCGATCTCCTTCGCCTGAGGGAAACGGAGAGACAGACACTCTTAGGGACACAGCTCTCCTGGTACAAAGAAAGACGAGAGAAAATACAGCACCCGCAGCAAAACAAATGTAAGCATCTCCCCAAAAACCCCAGAGCTTTCTGTCAGCTTAAAATCCCTGCCTTAGTCCTAAAGGCATCAAGGTAAAGATGATACTCTTCTTTTGTGGCTTCTTATGAAACTGAACATTTAAATGCCTCACTCAGATCCAGGTATATGATCAGGTCAGAAAGGAAAGAGGTTGAAGTATAACATCTGATGTTAAGATTGGAAATGCATATTTAATGTTATGCAACACAGACAAGATACAGCTAGTCAATGCATACACGTGAAAACAGGAAAGTGCACATGACTCAAGTCTAGCAATATTAATGGGGTATAAATCAAGAAGGCAAGATTCTGCTGCACCCAACAGTAATGACATATAGGCAGTTTTTCATCTGGACTAGTATCTCTGCCTGATCATCTTTCAAGATGAGCATTTCTCATAACTTCTGACTTAAATCGCAGATCCCATCAGGAACTGAAACAAAGTCCTGTACAGCTGTGCGTACTCCAGATTTGAAGATTATGTACCTTTTCCACACAACCATATTTTTGAGATGATCCCTCTGCATTTGACACCCTTGAAGCTGACTCTTAACTAGATGCTACTTGGCCATTCCCAAAATCCTTCTTCACATAGACACTTCTCAGGGGTTTCCCACTGCAGCTGCACCTTTCCCAATAATGGGGATGAAATTTTTAACCTCCACGGGGAATTCTTTTCCAGCTTCCATATGCCAAGAAATACAGCTTGAAGGCTTAGCAACTCACCCTCCTCATTTCCCAGTGGGAGAGGCTTCTTGAGAGGCTAAGGTCTGTATCTGAAAGGCAATAAACAAATAAATGAATAAATAAATAAAATTTCCCTGATTGGCTTCCTAGAGCAGCAGACAGCCTTTTGTCAGAGGCAGCATCCCTACACCTTTTGAGATGGCTGATCAACTACCAAATCCTGATATCAAATGGTTAATGGAGATCGTTTTTATCAAGTGTTTTTACAGACTCACCAGATCCACTGCAGAACATTTGCTGTAGTGCAGTGGTCCACCAAAAGTTTAGGGGACCATTCCTACTCCAACAAAACGCAAAATTTGTGGTAAAAATATTTCATAGCGGAAATTCATCTCTACTGCACCTTTTATCAGGCATCCCTAGAATCCTTGTGAGGTTTCTTGGCCTCTTCAGACTAACAAGTCTGCAGACTCAAAACTGGAGTGAATAATTCAAAACTTCTCTGGCCAACTACAACTAGCAAGAAGCTTGGCAATTGACCAGCTGAATAGGGAACTCCAAACTGTATGTCTCTGTATATGTTGCAATGAACAACTCCACATTATCTGTTGGTGTCAATCCATCTATATCTGCCTTGTTTTTTCTCCTTCCACCAGCATTTTATTATCCCTAGCCCAGTGTTTGTCTACGCCCAACTTCACATTCATGCCATTTTTCTGTCCATACCCCCCTCCCAATTATACCTGAGTCTTTCTCAGCATTACAATTCGACTGAATATGGAAAGACTGCAGCCCACGTAACTCATCTTCATCATTCCCATCATCTTCACCATCCTTGTCGCTGTCTGACGAGAGTGCAGGCACAGATGATAGGGCTGAGATGGACTCATGCCTGGAAGGGAAAAGGTGGAAGGAGTATTACAGTCTGTCTCAAGAACTCCACACCATTTCAATCCCTAGCCCTAGTCTGCCACCTTCCCTCACCATCCAGAGTGCAGAGCAGGCTGCCTCTGAAACAAAACCCACCTCTGAGAGGACAGTGCAAGGTAAACCTTGCACAGATGTGTGCAGAGCCTGCCACGGCCACCATCTCATGCTCGGATGGATGGATGGATGGATGACAACTCAGATCACAAGTAAAGAAGCCAGAGCAAGTCAGGTGAAACTGAAACTTGACCTTCCAGTTCACATCCTGCCATTCAAAAGGCTGGTAAAACCTATTTGGAAGGCAAGTATTTTTCCCATCCTCAAGCATTTCCTCCCTGGAATTATTTTACACATCAAAAACATCCCAAAGATATTTCTTGCTTGACAGCAAGTAGATATTTAGCACATCATCATGTAAGAGACAGGTTCACATCAAAGACAGTCGCAAGCAGAACCCGCATCACAGCCCACTCACCACCAGAGAGCTGTGTTATCTTGTTCAGCCTTGAGGCCCACGGAATAACATAAAAGACACTTTGGACAGATCTTTAATAAAGTGCATCAGACAAGCCTTCCCACACAGACCTCAGACACACTCCAAGCACAGAACTCCCCAATACCCATCAAGGACACTTAGCATCATATTACATTTCCCTTCTCTTTTTTCCTTTTCCCTCTCCTCTCCTCACTCCTTGCATCCACAGAACCAAATGAACTAAACCGCTTTGGACAAGTTGAACAAAATAAAACATAATTGAACAAATGACGAATCCCTAACAAATAAGTTAAGAGTAGTGCCCATTCCTTGGCCTTTAGCTGGAGTGCCAAATGCATCATTAATGACTTTTATAGGATAACGCAGCTGGTGTTGAGTGCCAAGCATTATTCACAAGATCAAAAATAGCTTGTTCCCCAAATGCAGGGCAGCCTGGCCAAGAACCAAGTTCTCCTGCAGCTGACAGAGCAGGCAGTACTAGAACATGGCAAGTAGTAGCTAGGGCACTTTAATCAGGTCTCTTCCCATGCGGTGGCAGAACTGTAATTTCTGTTCATTAGGAATGGCTGAGTGACAATCACCCAGAGCTTTCAGAAGAGTTCTGAGATGTTCTGCAAAAAGAGGAGTGAAATGGGCAGGCCAGTCAGCAGATCCCTCAACTGAAAACAGTTTCATGTAGGTTGCTCTTATCCACTTTTGGTATTTGGGCCTATCAGTCTCCTCATCTTTCCTAAGGTCTTCTGGTATGTCCATCTGTCATCCTCATGCTCTCATGCCTGAGCAGGGGAAAACTATCAAAGTTTCTATAGCACCTTCATAGCTCTGCCATCATCTATCCTATGAGGTACTTATATTTACAAAATTCATATTGACCACCTTATATATCAGCAACTTTGACAGTGTCTTTCAGCTTGTGTTCAAAGTTGCCAGGACAGAGTTTATTGAGGGAGAAGGGCAGGTTTATTAGGATTAACATCTAACTGTTTGGATACCTCACTACTGGTTAGGTGATGTGGCAGGGCAAAGTTACGCATCTGTTAACTTTCTGCACATGCAAATGGAGAAGGGAGGATCCCTATCCACGTGTTTTATATTACAAACAGGAAGATGGTCTCTGTCTGTCAGGTAAGGCAAGATTAGGAAGGATGGAGAGAAGAAAAAAAAAAAAAAAAGAATATGTTCCAGCATCCTCAAAGGGGCTAAGTAATAGAATGAAAAACATCTTTTGGAAACTGAATGGCTTCTTTCATCCTTACAGAAAGTGCCAAGCAAATGATAGTCAGATGTGTTGAGTACAAATGTGAGGTTGTCTTGCACTGTTCCCGCAAGACTTCTTGCCCCCTTCCAATCCTCCATTTTACAACTAAAATATGCTTTTCAAATTTAGTTCTGTGATTTGGTAACTGAATGGGTTTTTCAAAAAAATCTTAGGCCCTTTCTTTCCTGGCCTTTCTGCACATACTTTGTGTTTCTTCTAAGCTCCTCCATTCCACAGATCTCATTCCTCTTCCTCAATTCCTGTTCACGTTTAGATGGAAGCCAGAGTAAGGTAGGAGGGGGTTTGCATGGTGGGAGCTGTTTCCAAACAAGAGCATTCTGGAAACAGAGGATTGTGAGACTGCAAGGGCCAGCTGAATTCCCCTCGAGAGCACTCGCAGCCAAAGCCCAACATCGCATCATTACACTAGGATGAATGTTTCAGAGTAGCTTTTCCAGAACAGCAGGTATCGACTTGCCTGGGTAACCCTGGGGAGGAAGGAAGAACAACAGAAACCCCTGCATGATACCTCTTACCCAGAAGGAAGGATTTTAATCACCCTCGTTTTCCTCATCTACCTTTGCAAGCAAATCTCTCCCCTTACCAACCTATACACATTTCTTGTTCTGTGGAAACAGGCAGAGGTGGTAGCACTTCAGCTCCCCTCATTTCCAAGGATGTGGTCAATGGCCAGACCTCAGATATAAGGTCTTAGGATACATATATTACTTTAAAAGTGCTACACTTCTTGACAAAGTTCTAACTCCATGAACATCAGGGAAGAGGTCACCTTGTTCTTTTGCACATCTTGAATTCAGGTCTTCTCTCCTGCCTTTTATTTTAAAAAATATATATTTTTTTTATTTTAAATTAAAAAAAAAAAGGCAGGAATGGCAGCTGTCCCTTTCAGGAGGTTTGTTACCAGCACTGCTGCTCTGATCTTGTGCTAACAAAACCCTTCGCTTGGGGGGCTACTTATCAAAATTCAACATCTGATGAGGGATGCTGGCAGATTTTTTCCTCCATAAATGCCTGCCAGTGTTGAAAAGAAAGTTACTCTGCTTTCCCTGACAGAAAGCTCACAGCGCTGCAGATCTTAGAATTTCCCTGGTATAAAACTGCAGTAGCTCAGCACAGAATCAGGCACCAGTTTTGATCTGGCAACAAAAGCCCCATCCTGAGCCCTGGGAACTACAGTTTCCCTGGCCTGGACCACAGCCTCCCTGAGAACTGATAAGCAGCTCTTCTTTCCAAGTGAATCAAAGGGTACACAGCATTTCTTTGGCACGTAAAGTAGTTTTAGTCAATAAAATTTGGATAACATTTCTATTTTTTGCTGTTTATGCCAGAATTTCAAAGGCAAGCCATAAAAAGTAACACCGTCCTCATGTGGAAACCTGCAGCTTCCCACTGCCTCATCAGCTCCGCTTTGCCTCCCCGATATTATTCTGATTATTTACCTTGTGATACCCCCATATTAAGGGACTGGCAGAATGCATTAGTCCCAGCACATTCCAACAATATCATTCTAGATACAATCACGTATAAAAAGTGACACATCACCAGGCGGGGAGTTTTGTTACGTTATATTCTTATGTTATATTTTGAGTCCTTCTGAGGCAGTCCTGCACCTCAAGGCACAACCCCACTCTCCTCTGCAACCTACACACAGCTCAGCAACACAAGCAGAACAAGCACAGGGCATCTAAAAACCATTCTTACTCAAGTTCCTTTCTCTTCTCCCACCTCAGCAAGACGGGTCCCATAGGCTCTTCCTCCATAGTGAGTCCCAATCCAAAAGGCTCTGGCACTAAGTCTTTGCTGAGATCCGATGACCACAGCGCTCGATTAAAACTGAACACAAGCTTGCAAAGCTGACCAGACAAGGAGGCTCCAGGCTTGCAAAGAGGCTACCAAACGAGTTCATTAAAGTGCTGGGGTTGGCGTGGCACTACACCGCCCTTCAACAAGGGCTCGTGACGGAAACTAGTCTCACCTAGCGCGGAAGAGAACTGGGATTATCTGCCACGGGCTGCGCCTCAGTAAGGCAAGGCTGCAGCTGCTGGAGCGATGGAGTCTGCTATAAAAAGCACATTGCTTGACAGCTCCAGCATTTTGGCTAGGAAAAAAAAAAAATCCCCCAGCATCACTGCTGAAAGTGCCTATTAGACAAGAGATGTTTCAAGCGTGAGCAGACCAAGCTTTTCCCCAAATAAAAGTATGCAGACAGACTTGTTCTGACACACTTGGCTCCCAACGAGAGGGGAAGGTCCTTGTGACACTTTAACAACCGCTGTGTGAAGCCCTGCTTTGGTACTTTTATATCCAGAACTCAACTTCTAGCCATTGGGAGAAGAAAAATTGTGGGGCACAACATAAAAACAACAAGAACAACAATCTCTGAATTCTTTTTCTCCACTTTGATCCCCCATCAGCCTAGTGAGGATGTCACATGTCTCTCCTTCAGTGCTTACAGACAAATTAGTTTCAGTTAATTACTAACTGCAGAGCAGCCAAATACTTTACATTAGCAGTCCACAATCCCCTGTCACTCTTGTGTGAGGGACTGTGTTTAAAAACCTTTTTAAAGTCCTTTTTAAAGAAGGGTCACCAGATCAATTTAGAACTATTCAATTTGTTGACTGTAGTGGTTTGTTTTTAGATATGCTGTTTACAGAGGAAAAAGAACATCCTTGATTTGACTGGCAAGAACTTTTCCCAAAGTTAAATATTTAGGTGATTTTCTTTAAATTGTCCTGCAAATAGGTAACAAAGAAAAAGCACAACTGTAAGGAAAAGCTAGGACTCATTCTGAACTATGAGGAGCATCGCAAACATAAGGATCACAGGTGAATTTCAGTACCACCACTGCAGAAAGTAGCCTTTAAATTTTCAGCCAATACACAGAGAACTTTATTCATGAAGGAACAGGGCTTTCCTAGCTGAAACTGCTCTGCACCAGTTCTTGGTACTGCTATGTAAGCTGCTTATTAAAAGTTACTGATCACATCATTAGAATAAATTAAGAGTCAAGTGGCATCGCAAACACATTGCGATCAGTGAAGCAACACTGGGCGAGCCTGTCTGGAAGATCAGAGTCAGGCTTCTGCATTCAAAATACAGACATAAACATATCAAAGAACACTAACAAACACAACACACTAAAGCAAACCCAACAGAAGACTAAGAAAACTTCTGGAAGACATTAATTGGTAAAGGCAACAGAAATTTTGGAGTTCGATCCCACTGCCCACCCTTCCCACATTAAACGCCCATAAAGCCTGCAAGATGCTCTCAGTCCACTCTGCTCACCTCATGAGTCCAGCTGTCTTGTGTGGAGGAGACTTTTCTGCCTGCTTCCCCCTCTGCCTCATGTCGGACAGCCGCTGCCGCATGTTGATGGTCATCTCCGAGCTCAGGCGCCATATGAAGATGCAGCTGAAAGAGGGAAGGTAAAGCTGAGGTGAAGTCTAGTTCATTCACAGTGACCATCAGCTGCCCTTGCAGAGAAGAACAAGGGCCCCTCCATCTGTGACAGGGCACAGAGACACACACAGGCATGGCTTTATGGAAACTCAATCCCATCACAAGCCTGTGGAAGAAAGGCCAACCTGCCTGCAAAGACTTCCTGTGGACAAGGGGGACCGCACAAGTATTTGCACAGGCTCATGCCTGAGCCTACACCTTTATTCCCCTGCCTGAGCAGCTGCTGATGGAAATGCCATACGAAGTCACTCCACAGTTAGCAGGATAAACGGAGCCTTTTGCACAGTATCTTTTGCATCCTCTAGCAATGGTTAAGCTGCAACCTCTACTGCAACTCCTTCGGGCAAGACCCTCACAATGCCTCTCCCACAGATTTGCTATGGTGCTGCAATGATTAAGATTACACTGGACCATTTTTTTATTCAGTTAAGGTATTCCTAATGTGGCTCTACTCAGACTACCTCCATGAAGCTTATACACAATTTGAGTCAACTTGGTCAATGGATTAATAGTTTTTAAGAAAGGAAAACAAACACTGATCTCATGGGTCTCATTTTCTTTGGATACAAGGCTAAAAAGTAAAACTCTCCATCACATGAGATGAGATGCAGCATTCTCTAAAGTTGCTAGAATATAAAATAACCGATATTTTCTTCAAAATTTAACCTCACTGCTAACTAGTTCTTTTTATTTCACGCACCGCCCCTGTCAAGTTGGGTACAATTACACAGATGTATCTCAGGAATGTCCCCTCCCACCCACCCAAGTCACACACAGATACAGAGACTTCCCCTCCACAGTGAGGACGTTGTCATCCCCCTCTGCAGCTTTTAGCCACAAGACAATTTTGCAGCTCTGCTGCTGGGAGCTATGGTAACCCGGGGCACTCAGCTGCTTCCCCTCCAACAGCAGCTCCATTGAGCACAGCAGCAGCTACAATTTGCTGCTGAGACAATACTGAAAAGCAGGAAATGCGATTCAGAAAGGGGCTCTGGCCTGCTCATATATCCCACGCCCACAACTATCAAACCTCGAGATAAGCAGCAACAGCAGGAACTTCCCAAAGCATTAGCATTCAGCAAAGCCGTGCACAGCCTGCTCCCACCTACCCCTTCTGCAGTGGCTGTTTTGCCTTGCAGCACTTTCCTCACACGGTTCCCCCATTCCCTGTGCTTTCTTCACCTCTCATTTTTCTTTCCATTCTCGGTTTTATTCTTTGCACATGCTGCTCTGTATAAATAGACTGTTCTCTCTGTTCTTCCTTGAAAGATGCTCTTGCACCTCTCCTTACTGCTAAATTCTCCATGAATCCCTTCCTCACTTCTCATCTACCTCCTCTACACCCCAGGTGAAGAAAATGACTCCCTTCCTCTCATGTACACAAGCAACAAGGCATCACTGCACTAAATCACAGGGATCGCTGCTCAGTTCATGCCTGTATTTCTGGAAGGCAGCAGAAACTCGAGCACTTTTAAGCTTTTAGGGAGCTGATTTTGCTCGATATGCCAGCAGAAAGGTCGGGCAGGGGAGAGTGCTCATTTAGTGACCTGAATCAGCTTGTTGAGGGCTCAGGCAAGCACCCAACTGGCGTAGGGGAGCAGGGGAGATGATGATATGGGCAGGAGCAGAGAGTGGGGACAGATCTGCCTCTCCTGGCAGCAGCCTGGGAAGCCTCATAACAGGAGCACCACGAGACCAAGTTCTGGCAGTGCTGTTTAGATCTCCCAGGCTGCATTACACTGCCCAGCTGCCAGCTCCAGGGGGTGGTAAGAGGCCAGGCCACATCCAGGTCTCCTTCCAGCTGCTTTCCAAGTAGTATTAGTAGAAAATTGTACCTATGCTCTGAAAACAAAAAGGGACTTTTGTCCTAAAGGTACTTTACATCGGTTTCTTACTTCAGTGAAGGACGACAAAGCTCTGCAACCTTTGCCAATAACTCACATTCAGGATTCTGAAAGTTCTGGTCTTGCTCTGGACTTCACAAAACACCTCTCCAAAGAAGCCCCACCTTCCTCCTGGAGAAACTTTTGACCTAATGTGAGGGAGCATGAGTTGGTATCACTGATAAGCAAATCCCTCTTACCTGTCACCAGAAACAGAGATCAGATGTTTGCAGTCATTACTAAATTTCATCCCAGTTACAATCTCTGTGTGAAAAAAAAAAGAAAAAAAAAAAAGGAAGAAACTTGAATTACTCTGATAAGTAGCACAGATCATTAGCCAAATAGTCTTTCTGGGCTCATATCAGCTATTTCAACTCTGATCAAAGTCAACATATTTCCGGGGTCAGTATTGCCCTTTTCACCATATGCTTCTAATACAGGATCTAGGTTTAAGATACAAAGGGTTTCATACAGCCAAGTGTGCATGAAAAACCGAAGTCTCTTCTTGCCCAACACAGAACAGTGCCTGCAGGGTAGGAGCTGAGGAAGTATCATTTAAAAAAATATAAATATACACACACACACATAATATATATACACCCCACATTTATAGATACATATATACACATTTATATATTTATTTGTATACACCTAACAACAAAAAAAACATACAGACCTCTTTATAGGTCCTTAGAGAAACTGTATAAACAAAACAAAATGTCTGACAGGCAGTATATTTATAAAAATTATATATATATATATAAATATCAATATACATAATATCTATGTATGTGCATGCATGTGTACATACACACTCACTTTTTTTTAATATATATATTTTTTTCTGTATTAGGAATGCAACAAAGAAGCAAAAATTGCCATGGAATAAGTTATTAAAACTTCAACCAGCTATAAGTTAGCCAAAAATAGCCATAATGCTTAAAAATTTGGGGAAGAGAGGGAGGGACATTCAGAAAGCTTTGACTAGTACTATATGCTACTACTATACATCCACCACTAAAAAAACAGTTTCCCAAAGTTTATATGACCTACCTGAATGCCCATACATGGTAGCAACACACTCGCCAGAATAGAAATCAAAGATGGAGAGGTTCTTGTCAGAACAACTGGTTGCAATATAAAGACCAGACGGGTCAGTTTGCACCTGTTCAGGAGACAAGAGAAGTATGAAGACCTGGTGAGAAAGTGCCTTCAAGCTGCACAAAACACTGTCCAAACGGAACAGATGGTGGCAGATACACTACAGACAGAAAATTCAGCACTTGCCTTCGTGCTCAGTCCAGAGGGTACCCAGGATTTTATTAAAACCTTTTAATAAAATATTTTCTATTGGAAGTTTGCCTTTTTCATTCCTGTTCCAACATACCTATCCAAGGAAAACGCTAGTGTCCTCTGCTTGGCAGTGCTTAGGCTGCCTGCTCTTCCCACCTTAAGGAACCATTTGCCTGGATGAATCCCAGGAGTAGCAGAGGGCTGCGGTCAGTCCCTGCACCGTCCCACACGGAGGCAGCTGGGTGTCACAGGGCACTGGCCTCAGCCCCCTAGCAAGGGCTAGTCATAGTCAGCAGCAACGTGAGTTGCTCCCACAGGACCCTGATCTAGCACCAGGCTATTCAGCATCCCAGAACAAAAAGCTTCCAAGCTGATTAGACTATTAAAACTACCTGCAGCCTTATCAGAAGTCCTTATATTAAATGGTGTCATGACCATGAAAGCCCCATCACCAGTCTGGACTGATTTAAACCACTTTCCCATTTCCTTTTATGTACTGGGGTCTTATTTTCAATGGAAATCAGTTTCTTCTGTCTTAGGTCGAAAAATTAGAGTGTGGAGAGTGAAGTGAAAAATTAAAGGCCTACAACGTGGAGGACAGAAACCAACGAAGAATTCAATAGTGCTGCAAAAAAAAGTGGTTGCTGTTGATATGTTTTATTTATATAAAGATCCCTGTATTTTGTAGGGCTTCCATGAGCCAAAAGTGAGTGTTTGTTTTAAAGAATGCAGGGTGTTAAGATAATTTGTTATACTGTTCTGTTGCTCTATCTTCTGCTTCATGTATCACTGCTTGTGTCCGCATTGCTAACTGCGAGGCATGTTATGAGCTCAGAACAACACTCCACAAAAGTTTAAATTCCAGAGACAACTGCCATTCCTTTGTTACATAACTGCCCTAAAAATGAATAAAGCAACATTAAAAAAAGGGATGCCCTGCAAGGGCTACTCATGAAAAAGCAACAATAAATGATATTAAAAAACAAAAATCCAGCTCCAATAAACATTTCATAGTTTGTGGTCTTAAAAGATATAATCAAGTGCCTGAGCTTATTAGCAATAAAATACAGCACTTGTTTTTCATCGTCATTGCCTTAGCTTATAAGAGCTGTTGCAGATGAGGAATTACATAGATGCAGAGCAGGAGAACTTACCTTTTTGTATAGAAAAAGAGGTGACACTGAATACGGTGGTTTGCTTTTCTCCTCCTTTCACCTAGTTATTTAAGCCCATTAGTAATATTGCTGGCCTGCTCAGCTGAACTAAAGACTTATTTTAAAAATTCGAAAAAACATCAGTGAAAACAAATATGCCATAAAAGATGCTTGTTTGGAAAGCTGAGACACTATTTGGCCATGTCAATCCGTCTCTCCTCTTTAAGGAGGACACAACTTTTCCATGCAACATTCCAATATGCCGGCACTGCTCCTCATCACTCATCTTTAACACACCTGGTTTGCCAGGGGAAGCCCTGGGAGAAGTGGCTGTGCTGCCACAACGCCAGGACACCCTGAGCAGGCAGGTGACAAGGAAACACAGAACGAGGCTGTCCCTGCGGTGTTTGGTCAGTGTCCCAAGGCTGCCTGGAGAACAGGGGCTTTCCTGGACACTTCCTCCTTCGTTTCTCTTACTCTTGGAGCGCTTCACTTGCAACTGCTCTGGGGCAACCCATCTGACACTCCACTGATTTCACTTTTTTTTTTTTTTTTTTTTTTCCCAATTCTGATCAATAGGCAGCTCCAGCTTATAAGTCCTAAGGAAGGTAATTAAGAAAGCCCTTCTGGAAGATAAAGTAAATGAAGGATAATTTGCATTTTGGCTTCCCAGAGGCACTAAAGGATCTGTAAAGCGGGTGCCAAGGAAGTCTTCCATTTTTTTAGAGGCATTCGAGAGAAATACTCTTGACTTTTGAGAGATGTGACATGTAAGTGGGCTAGATTATCTTGTGATGAATACTGGTGCAGTTCTATTTGTTATCACAGTGTGGACCTCTGACTCACTTCAGACACAGGACAGAGAAAAATGAAACACCCGCTTTGTCATTTATTCACTCATTTCACGTTTTAGTCTGACAGAATCCAAAGGTATTACCAGCCTGTAGAGGTGGAGGTAGAAAGCAGCAAGATAAGGGACAACGTATAGGCCAAGCAAGAAGAGTTTCTCCATTCAGATTTGTAGTTCCTTTTTGGTTAAATGCTTTGCATTCCCCAGCTAAGAGCAATTCTTGGCTAAGTTTATTAAAAATGTCCAGCTTTGTATAGCTGGAAAGCCTATGCTTTCTGAGCCTAGTGGCTGAGATTATTTGAAAACATGTGCTTAAAAATCAACGCAGGCTAATTAAGAAGCAAGAGTTCACGGATTTCAAGTAATACACAAATAACTGACAAGGAAAGTTCAAGTATTATTACAGTCTGGATCTATCCCTAAATTTGAGTCCCAAACCAGACCTAGGAATAAGAAAAGGGAGAAAAAAAGTGAATTTGTAACAGCTTACTTTGATGAGAGTCCCATCTTCACCTTGTGATCCTTTGTAAAGCTTCTTCTGCTTCCCACTGCTGATGTTGAAAACCCTTAGGAGGAGATAAGATAACAGCACTCATTATACCAATGCACTGGACATAAGATAACATCACTCATTATGCCCATGCACTGCTCCATGGCTCTTATCACCAGGATCCTTTTCCTTTTCTGCTGCTCATGGCAGGTCTCATTGCACACGGGATATAGGGCACAGGGCCAAGCTGCAGGAAGAGAAGCTCTGACGTCTGTGAACGATAGTCACCAGTCACTTAAGTGGTTTAACAACCAACCTGCAAAGGAATACAGCGTCCCAAGACTGAACGATAAAATACCAAGCTGATTATCTGGATTAAAAGTTTGATTCTCAGGCTGATGACCAAGAACAAGTTTTGCACCCATGGCATTGAAGGAGAAGTCAGATTAGGGACAGAAAGTCTTGTCACAACCTGTAGCTCCTTCACACCGAAGGACAGACCAAGACTCTCTATTTACATCAGGATACAACACCAGGCGGCATTGAACTCATGTCCAAAACTCTCAGCATCTCACTAGCGTACTGTAAGAGAGTCTTCTGCAGAACTAAAGTCTCCTTAGCTTTGGAGATGCAGGTAGATATATAGATTGGAAAAATGGATAAAAATGTAGCACAGAGTAATACCAATTGCCAAAATGCAGTCACATCTCGCTCAGTTTTAGGTTCCTCTGATCCCAGCTATTTCACAGGAACTCAGAGCCCCTCACTAGACAAATCTTTAAAGGCAAAAATTGCCACTGGGCAGCAGTTCTTGCCACACAGCTCAGGGATGTGTTAAGGCATGTATACCTGCTGCCCCCAAGACAAAGATTTTGCAGCTCAGAGGAACTCAGCAAAACACCAAGAGTCACATGCACACTCAAGTATATCCATGGCTTCTCATCAGTAAGGGAAAAAGAACAGTTTATATTTCAGAGTTTACATCAGACTGAAATGTTGTAGCAAAGAACCTGGAAGAACAATGATGTGAGGCAGGGAAGGCCTTGGCCAATTCAGTTACGACTGCAAGAACATTTCTGAGACAGGTGGACTAACCTGATGTTACGGTCTTGGCAACCAATAGCAGCATATTTCCAGCTGGGGTCCACATCCATGTCATACAGAGTGGTCTTCCTAACAATGTGATGTGTTCGAGTAAACTGAACTCCTTCTCCTGTCTAAGCATGGAGGAAGAACTGTGTCAAAGCCAAGGAGTTAACCCATTATTTAAAACTTGTAAATAGAATCTAATCATTTCAGACAGCGAGCACAAACTTCCCACTGGCCTGCTGGGAGCAACCAGGACTACAAACACAATGCACTCCTCTCTCCGGCCATCTCTTCCACCACTCCTTACAAGAGCCATCACAGAGAAAGAGGAGCAGATATCCTAACAGCTCTCTACATTGCCTCCTGGTGAGAGGATTCAGACTGGAAGCAGCTGCATGATTCACAGAACAGCTTCTCCTAACACAATCTCTTGCACTGAGTCACAACAGAAGATACCCAGCATGAAATAACAGCAAGCTCACAAAAAGAGACTGATATAGATAGGTCTTTAAAGTGGCTCCTTTGCAGAAAGAAGATTAAAAGTAGTACACAGCAGCTGTAACAACATTACCTTTTGCGCAGTGCGGAAATAGATGCTTTTGTCTGCCCCACAGCTGATCATTCGCACTTTCCCATCGTTAGCTGGAACAAAGAGACAGGAGCCCATCAAAAGATAAACAAAGATAGGAAGATAAAAGAGGTATATAAAGGAGGTTTAAATCTATATGGTTGGTGATTTACTGCAGTCCTGGCCAGCTAAAACTTGACTCCTACCACACTACAAGGCTGCAGCAAAGCAGAAGCCCCTTCTCAAGAATTTGTTAACATTCAAAGCACTTGTTAATATTCAAAGAACATGAAATCTTAATACAGAGGCTTCATGCAACAAATGAGGATATAATTCTGCCTTCCTTCCCAGTGCTATGCTCATGTTCCTGTTCTCTTCATACCAGAACAGCTCTTAGCAATGTGACAGCAAAAAAAGCAGTTTCATGCTGCTTATGAGCTGAAAATAGATAATAGGCCCTTTTCAGTCCTCTAAGTCAATGACACGTTCCTTGCTGCCCTTTCTTACTGAAGGGTCAGACCCTCCATCTTCCTGAAGCATTCTTGTAACCAATCTGCTCCTTCAAGAGAAGGAAATCAGATAAAATTCAACATAATGAAATGGATCCAATATCACATAAGTCCCTGTACCTGGTGAGAGCAGGACTGCATTTAGCCCACGCACCTCGTGCCCTGGCCGTAGCCGCCTGGGCCTGCAGGGCATTCCCCCACACTCTAGGACTTCAGCTGGTTGTATTCAAGGCCAATATCCTGATAAAACAAGAGCTATTGGAGCTTGGAGGTCCTTGAGAAAAAGCTGAAAGAAACCTCAGTGGAAGCTCCCCCAAACAGTTAGGAAGCCTCAGCAGGGTCCCTGCCTTTCACTTTGGAGCTGCTTTTAGCTGAGGCCCTGTCCTTGGACACCACTTGAGTTACTGCCTGCAGTAGGACTGCAGCCATAACTATGTACCCAGCTGACTTGATTTGAACTCAGACCTGCCTTAGCACTACAAACCTGCCTGGCAATCACTGATTGCAGTTGGTGGTGGCCGCTGTCTCTCAACCTGATTCTGACCCTGACTTACTCACTTGTCTTCCCAGCTTGTCCTTGGAGCTGGTCTCACCACTACCTGGTAACTGTGACTGGACCTGATCTGCTCCACCTTTCTCGGGTACTGTGGGACTGCCCTCTTGCAGTGAAGTCACTACTTCTGCACCTACTCTCCTGTCACCCTCACGTCGTGGCTCCCCTTCCCTTGTGGAACAGCCCTTGCTGCTCCCTGGCAATAGAGAAGTGCACCACAGTGATGTCTCTGAGCATCTCTGCTCAGTAGCATCTCTGAGCACTGCAAAAGAGTTGTGACCCATTAGGAAGAATGGAAAGTCTAACATTGTTCTGCAGCATTGAGCATGCTTCTGAAACAGGTAATTTTTGAAGACGACACTGCTCCACTGTTCTCACTGAGATAAGGATTGAGTGTAACCATGTTATATCAAATAAGGGAGTGAACCATTGCAGATAACAGTTTTCTAGAAAAAAAATACTGGGAAATTCAGTCAGGAGAGGGTTTTTCACAAAAGTTCACAAAAAAAAAAAAAACCTTCCGATAGGACTGCAGCTACAGAGGATGACAAAAAAAAAGCAGTGACAGCTTCAGCCTGGCCTACACTAGTATTTAAGCAGTCAGAGCTGATTGACAGCTACAATGAGACAGTGGCACCACTGAAAATCCAGCTTTGGAGGAGGCCACAACTCCCTACCTGCAAATTTCACAGCAGTGATGGAAGAGGAATGTTCATCCAGGGTCTGCTGCAGGCTGTAATCCTTTCCAGCATCCAAGACATGAATCAACCTATCCCGACTGGCTGAGGCTAGCAGCTTTAACCCTGTAAAATATTAAAGAGGGTTTTCTAGTAAGATACTTTTACTGAAAAAACACATTTGCTTTTCCAGCCATCATTTCAAGACATCTTCCCAAAAATCTTATTGACAAAACATTAAGTCATAGTTAACTGCAAGAACAGACAAAACAAAATGCCTCTGGATTTCATGACAACAATAGACAGGAAAAGTCTCAGTCTTCCCTTACAATCCGCCTATGGAAGAGTAAGAGAAAAAAGTGTATTTCAACGCCTGGTTCCACTCATCAAAAGCTACAATTCTGCTCTGAAATCCAAGAGTAGTTTACCACGAGAAAGCCCAGGCATATGATGGCTGCCCATTCTGTGTTGTTTACCACCACGCTTTTCATAAGCTAAAGGAAAGAAGCTCCAGTGCACGCACCTGTGTCAGGTTTGGAGTACTCCAGACAGAGGATCTCAGAGTCATGGGCTTCCACCTTCAGCATCTCTCTCAAAGACTGCAACTCATATATCCTAAGACAGAACATCAGTGCAGATTGCAGTATTATTAATAAACCCAACAAGATCGAGTTCCAAGTCTCGCACACACGTAGCCCTCACCCTGCCCATCGAGGTTACCTGAGGGTGCCTATCCTGTCCCCCGAGGCCAGGTGCTCCCCGCCGGGGCTCACGCACACCGTGCGTATCCCCACCTTTGTGTCCAGCACCTGCGCGTCCGCTTTGTCCGCGCTGCCGCCCGAGTTGTAGTCGGTATCCAGGAGTACCTGAGTGTTATCATCTACATAGATGATCTTCATCAAGTCCTGAGGACACAACGGAGAGAAATAATAAACTAGTTAAAGTGAAGCAACCCCCTTAGAAACTCGACTCCTGGCAAATGAGCACTCTTGCTGGCAGTACTTGTGTAACTGACGGCATGTTTTGGCTGAGAGCAAGCACTCAGCCTCTTAATATTGTGAGGGGAAAGCTGTACATCTGTGTATCAAGATCATTCTTTGCAAGAGATTCCCCTTGGTTCTGGAAGCTATCAGACTCTCCGGCACAGAGACAAGCTCTGCAATTAGCAATTACAACATAAGAGGAACCAGAGCAGGGACTCAGAAGACTTTAGGGAACACCAAGTCAGTCCATGCCTTTTAAAAACCCTCTGGTATAGGAAGCAGAAGCTTCATTTCAACCATGAGCAGACTGCTGAGAGAGGGCCCGTGAGTCTTCCAGAAAAACTGACCATGGAAGCTAACATGGAGAGGCAATCACTGGACTGTACAAGAGTCCCCCTTCCCACACGGATGGAGTGACTTAAACCTTACGTTGCTGAGGATGTTGCGGTGCAGAGCTGTGCCATGAATGTTGGAGCTCTCCGTATTCCACAGGCGAATGGTGTTGTCGGATGAACAGGTGATGAAGGAACCAGGGGGCAGGCACGACTGGTTGTTGTCCTTCACCTCCGGATACATCTACGGTTGGGTAAAATCAAGTGCTGAATGAGATCCTTTTGCACCTGGCAATCTAGACACTAGCAGCAAGCTTCGAAGCAAGACCAAATGAAAGAGCTGCCCTCTGTTCTGTAAAGGACAGAGGTAGCCAGGAATTCTCCTGATGAAAGCCTGCTTGAAAACCAAAGCTTCATTCTCACTTCCAAACAAAGGCTGGCTGAGGTTCCCTGAATGCAGACCATCCCTTTAAGGAGCCTGCAATATCTTCCGGCCGAAATAGGCTTCCAGCACTTTTAGAGGTCACAATAAAATCATGGGCATTTTGTAAGAGAAGCCACTGCATGCAGCTTTGTCCAGTTCTGCCCCTTCTTCCATCTCTCACCCTTTTTTTTCCCCTCTCCAGTAACACATTGCATCTCAAATACTTCATCAATCACTGCTATGCAGCCAAAGAACTGCTCCCACTCCAGCCCAAACACCATAACCACCCTTGGAAGCATTCCAAGCTCTTTCTCTCTCTCAGGGCATTAACTTCTTGCATTTAAATGTGACAGCTATTCAGATGATGCCTGCAGCCACAAGCCATAATCCAACACTCGTATCTGCAGACATCGTTCCCCCTCTGCCCTTACCTCGATGTTCCACACGCAAGAGGAATGGTACAGAGCAGAGTAAACCTTGCCCACTTTCTTGGGGTCTCTGACATCCCACACGTACAGGCTGTGGTCGTTGTACACACAGGAAAGCCACTGGTTGGTGGGGTCAAAGGTGAGGGCAATCGTGTCTGGATACTTGGCATCAGCCATGCCGGAGAAGAGCCGACTGCAAAGAGAGAGCCAGAGCCGAGTTACTTGTGACTTCTTGGAGCGGCAGCAAAGAGGCCGAGCTCAGATTCTGCAAAAGGGGATGGCCGGGTGAACTGTGCCATGAAAGGAGAGAGGGAAGGCTGGGTGGGAAGACTTGCCTATCGACCAACTATTGCAGCAAGCAGTCTCAACAGAAACCTGAACACTCCCAGGTAAAAATCATTCCCCTTGCTGTACAGCCCAGAGTCCAACCACAGACAGACACCTGGCTTTCCCTCATGGATTAAAGAGGCCACCTGGTCATCACTGGAGATCATCATCTTTCACTGCTGCATAAGCAGTTGGCAAAACCCAAGCCAACAATGATCTCAAAGCAAAGGAGAAGAGCCCATCTTCGGGGTGTGTGTAACAGACTGCAGTTAATCGCGGGAGCTGCTCTGGCATGGGACCAGCAGGATGAATAGGAGCAGTCACCAGCATTCAAGAGCTAGGGGCACCCCAGCACAAGGCACAAAGCGATGCTTTGCTCCAGCTGCTGCCTGTGGGACAGGCCTTCCCCCTACACACTTAGTGCTGCATGGAACAGCTCATGGGATGGGCAACTGCAGACGGGTACGGCCCTTTCTAGGCAAGCTCTCTGGGGCAAACTTCACAGAGAAGAACTCTGCACAACAAGGCAACTGCTAGTTCCCCGGGTTAGACTTAGGGCACATGATGAGAACCCAGGACTCTGTCTGCAGGGACACACTGTTGAGTCCTGCCTCCAGGCATGCAGAGTAGCAGCTACTCTTCTGATCTGAGCCCACAGCACTGCTAAGAGTATTGAAGATTACAGTCAGAGGGCCAGGGCTGACAGAAAGGAATAAGGACTAATGGCAATCTAGGGGTGAGGGCCAAAGTGTACACAGTACCCCAAGACAACTGGGACCCCTGCTCCAGCAAGCACAAAGCTGTGAGGGACAGAGGGATAGGATCTGGGCTGTTATCAAAAACATCAAGTCATTAAACACAGTGTGGGCAGTTCATTGTGGGCGACTGGCATCCTACAGAGAAGCTCTGGCATGCAAAGGGATAATAAGGAGCTCTGTGTTTTCCAGCTTTTTGAAATTAAAAAAAGAGGGAAAAAAAAAAAAAAAAGGCTGTTGAGATCATAAGCAGTCATACAAAGGCAGGCCTAAGTCACATGAATATCTGTGCTTGCCTGACACATATAGATGCCACAGAGGGTACTTTTAAAGGGCCAGAAGACATGATTGTTTGGCTTAGCACTACCAAAACTGGTAACACTGAATCAAGGAAAATAGTTCCTTTTTCTAGCTCTTTCGCTGATTTTCCAGAGTAGGTCTATACAGTGCTGTCTGCACTTTTCCTCATGCTTCCTCCCGAAAGTTTAGTGAAAAACGGTTGAAACACAAGAGGGGAAAAAAAAAAAAAAAAAAGAAAAAAAAAACACCACTGCATTGCTGTAGAGATGGTATTTCCCTAGAATGAGGGCACCTTTGCTGCCTTCCATCCCCCTCTACGATACCTGGCTTCTGTCACGCTCGCGATATCCGTCCCCAAGAAATGCGGCTTGGGCAGCGTGGTGACAAAGTGAAGGTTCAGGGGGTTGAAAATGCGCACGGTGCCGTCGGCGCAGCCGCAGAAGATGTAGTCATGATTCACCGAGATGCAGTTGGCCACAGTGGTCTGGGGAGGACACAGCACACAAGGCAGCCAGTGAGCAACACGCACTCGCTTCAAAAGTCACCGAACACATGATGGAGAGAAGAGCAAAGTGACAGACAAAGGAACCGTGTCATGGTCAGAAGAGCTGAGGTGAGCTGAAGTTTAGCCCCCTGGAACAAGGAAAAACCTAGAAGTCCCAATTTCCTTTGGGGAGCTTTCTGGCCATGGTCCACTGCAGATTCCAGTGGCTAAGGAAAGCGCTTCAAAGGTCAGCTCCTCTCCCAAAATAAGGACACTCCTGCCAGGGGAGGTTGGGAGAGCAGCACATTGGCTCCAGCTGAGTCTCACTCTAAAGGTCTCACCTTTTGCTCCTCTGTGACACTCAGCACCACTGGCAGGGAAGGAGCACTGCACCATGTACTACCACACCAATATATCACTTGCGACAATGGAACAAGAAAGGAAAAAATGATCTTCCCCATCACTCCCATTGGGATTTGTACAAATGGCTGAAAATGGTAGAAAATGGAGCATATGGACAAGCGGATGAATTCAATGCAAAACTTGTTGGACTTACTGTGAAGCTGTCTGTATTCTGAGCAAGAGTGAAAGGCAGATTATAGAGAAGGAAAGAAAGAAAAGAAGAGGCATTTCACTTGAAGCATGGAGATATTTTGCCTTGGTTTCATCACTGGATACTTTCAGGTGAATATCTTGCATTCAGTTGAAAGGAAAAAGCCCTGTTGAAGTCTTAACTAAAGGCCAAGCTGGCAGTTTTCAATAGTCAAACCCACTACTGAATTGGGAAGTTGCATTTGAAATGCACAAGCCAAGTAAGACACTGCAGAGAGGAGAGGGATCAGAATCCTCCTATTGTCTAGGCCAATTCAGGAAGGACAGCACAGAGGTTGCCAAAGCTACATCAGGACACTGCTTTGCCAGCAGGGCAGAAGCTATAACAGTAAAGCTTGAGAACGGAAGAGCTTCAGGGATTAATAAAATCCCTTTGCAAAGAGGCAATGGCATTTGTGTCTAGCCTCCCAACCCGTGTAAATCACCAAGTGGCAGAAACCCAAATTCTCCTCAGAGTCACTAACTTGCACTGCTCGTGGCTGGCTTGTGCTCTCTCAATGCATTTATTGTTGCTCCTGCTGCTTCAGCAGGCACTAACACCAGAGGACAGGACAACACACAACTCACCCTCAACTCCACCCACTTGTCAAGCAGCCTTTTCTCGTTGAATTCACACAACAGGCCTGAGGAGGTGATACAGAAGGTGCTGTCAGCCTTCTTGCCCCTTCCACATGCCACATCTGCGAAGAAGTTGTTCCTCAGTTCCCCAAGCAAACCGGAGCGACCCAGCAAGGGGACTGTGGCATTCACCTACCAACAAAAACACAATGTTAGGAAGAGAGCAGTCCAGACAGACATCTGCTGAAACAACAAGCCCTCAGGGCCTCAGAAGTTCCTCAAACACAGAGGGTTGAAGAGTACAAAGAGAGAAGGTATGAGGTTTTATTGCCACAGACTACAGGTTGCAGAGTACACTGGGACCATCAGTATTAGCAAGTCAACAAAACAAAACTCTCCTTACGCTACCAACATTGACTTTCCCAATACATGACCCAGAGACAGCAGAGCAGCCACAGGAAGTGCAATCCTTTGATGGACAATCTGTGACTTGCATCAAAAGCCAATAGATGGTGGGGTCCAGGTAACAAGTGAGCAAGTGTGGAATACATATTGGATGCCCATGAGCAGAAGCCACTAGCTAAATGGTTAAAACCTTTGACTGACACTTCAGAAGAACAACCACAGCTTCTTGAGATGCTCACACCCACATGAAACAGTTTTCCCAATCTCTGTGTTGCAAGGAGCTCAATAACTACAACTTTTTGTTCTGTTTTTATTTTGTGTTGTTTGGTGTATATAACTGCTAAAGAAACCACATGCTGCTGCGCAACTCCAGGAATCACAGTCCCTCCCCAGGATATAAGACAAGCCTTTGGTAATGTTGCACCATGCAATTCCTGCCAGTCCATGGGGAGACTGTGGCTTAAGTGAAGGAGATTGAGAGCCAGCCTTGAATCCCAAAGAGGAGGGGGAAAAAAAAAAAAAAAAAAAGAAAAAAAAAAGGTTCCCAGAGCAAAATTAGCAAAATTCACACGGCTGTAAGATGGAAGCGTCTGCCCACAGCTTGGCAGCTTCTCTCACCTTGGAGGTTTTGCTGTCATCTAGGTACCAGAACTTGATATGCCGATTTCCAGCAGTGACAAAGTAACTGCAGTCCTCCGAGAATGACACAGCTGTCACTTTGCTTGAGACTTTGTTGGCTGCCACCACAATGTTTTTCTGGAAACATAATTGTTTACACAGCTTAATTGCTTTGCTCAGACACAGAGGAAGTTCATTTCAACTGCAGGCATATATTAATACCAAAGCTGCAGCAACAAGCAAAGGAGACCCAAAGTCTCTCCTGTGACCCCTTCATCCAGCCCCAGCAGCCCTGACGTGGCAGCACGGAATTCCCTCCCCTACATCCTGCCTCCTCCCTGCCGAGGTGGAGGACAGGCCAGGAGCCACCAATGCCTGCACGGACATGCTTGCTAAGCCTCGACCTGGTGCCTTTGCAGTCACAGGGAACTCCAAGCAAATCTGTTCCCCTTTCTGAACAGGGAAGGTACTCGGGCAGGGACTCTCCTAGCCTTGGGGCAGCAATGAGAGCAAGGCATTCAAGATGGGAACAGGTATTTTCCACAGGCAAAACAGTTCCACCATAATTCTTCTCTTCTCTCCAAGAAATAAACCTTTATGGAAAGACAGAGGAGACAAAAAAAGACCATTTCTGCCTTACACCAAAAGGGAGAAAGCAAAGTCTGATCTATTTCTCTGCACACCTCAAATAGTCAAAGAGTGCAAGAGTGGCACGAGAGTGGCAAGAACAGAAAGGGGGAATGGACACTGTCTGAAGAGACGGGCTGATGACAGGCACTCAGCTTTCCTCCCCTCCTGTTCTCCAGGGATCAGTGGAAGGGCAAACTAAAAAACCTTCCCCTCCATCTTTGGTGGCTTTTACACCTTGTAGTACGTGACTGACAGCAAAGTACTGAGGATGTGTTTATGACATGGGTTTTCTTTATGGGAGTAAGGGGGTCAACCAACAACAGGGCTTTTTCATCACCATCAAACAAGTGGCCACGTCCCCAAGCCTGGAAAGAACAGGGAAACTGAAGCAGCAGCACCATGGATGAAATAAAGGCCGCAGTAAAAGGTGCAGGGAAGTACTTTGGGAAATCTGGTTTCAATTCTTTGTCTCAGTTTTCTATGACTTTTGTCAAGTCAATTATCTCTAATTCTAGCACCCAGTTCACAAAGAGACGCTGTACCTCCTGACAGAGTCTGGAACATATATTTAGAGAGTGTTCTTCAGCACAGAAGGGTGGAACAGTTCTTGCCTTACAAGCTCTCATGCAAAAAAAGATCATCAGGATCACAGTAAACAAAAAACTTGCATGAGCAAGGTAGAACAAAGCTGCCTGTACTCAGTCCCACACATTATGTTCTTCTCCAAGTCACTACTGGGATTTGTGTGACTAGAAAGAAGCAGGAGGCTGAACACACACTTTTCTACATTGATACAGGCATCCTCGTTTTATCACTACATAACTCACTTATACAGAAGAATAGCAAGGTTAAACCTCCACTCATGCAGGAGATGACTAACAGGGAGAGTTTGAAGTACAGCTCAAAGTATGGTGAAGTTGTTAATGTACTACACAAGCAGAGAACTACAAGCTGCACAACACGACATTTAACATCTGTATCTGTGGTCACATACAATTTATCTCTCTTTCAGAGAGCATTACAGTGTCTGAAGAGGTAGCAGGAGCCAACTCAAACCAGAAAAAGCATAAATGCTTAGCCCTATCTCATACATCAGCTTGGAGCCTTCTGTATTGTGAGCCTGGCAACACGGGTATGGGATTTTTGTTTATTTGCTTTTTTTATACAGCCTATATTTACATGCTTTCTAGTTGAAAAAACATAGGCTTTATTTTCCACAGACAGCACAGCCACGGTGCTCTATGTACGTTCCCTTTCTCATAGGTCAAGGATTTGTTTGGAGTACCACCAAACCTGACGCAATTAAAACCAGAACAACTTGAGTACCCCTACACCACAAGAGGAATCCCTGCCTGATGAGACTCTCCTCCTTCAGCCCCATGAATTAGTTTTTAAACAAGCCTCTAAAAAGGCCCAAGTCCTTAACAAGGTTTTGGAAGCCCAGGCTTTTCTGACTAGGCAGCAAGATGTTGTATGTCTCCAAATACACAGAACAACCCTTCAAAATGATTTAGATCATCCCTAGGGGACCATAGCTCTCTCCCACGTCCAAACTTGTCCGTGTCAATGAATGTCAAAAGAAGAGTGGAAAAGAAGGGGAAAAAAAAAGCAGCAGAAAGCAGGACAGAATTGAAATCATACAAAATCATTCTATTTACCAACCCTGCGGTCCACGCAGCTTCTTGGGGAACTTACCTTCCAGGACCACACGTTGACAATCATGTCGTGCTGGTAGCCCACCGAGACGATGTACTTGGCGCTGGGCGAGAAGGCGACGCAGGCCACGCCGTACTTGTGCTCCTGCAGCTCCGCCACCTGCGTGCGCTCGGCCACGTCCCACACGCGCACCGCCGGCATGTGGCCGCTCTGCGGGGACAGCGACAGGCACACGTCAGCAAAGGCTCCTGCCGAGGCCCACTCGGACACACTCGCACATGGAAAAGGGTGGGAGCTCGGGAAGAGACATACAGGTGCTGGGATCACGACATGCAGGTTAGAGTTCACCTCCTGCGACTCTTTAAACACCCTAGTCTCCTGCAATCCCTCTTACACTCCTCCCAGAAGAGCCAAAGACTGGAACTTTCCTGCACATCCCTGACTTTGCAATGGGAACTCACAGCCAGCTCATGAAAACCTTTATGTGACAACGTATGTCCAGACTTAGTGCACCCAAAGACCCTCTGCAGGCATCCTCTGCTCCTAACACCACATGGAGGCTGGAGATCTTGAACCAGCTCAGCCAAGCTGCCCCCAAACACGATGTGGCTGTTGATGTCAGGTAGAGCTCAGCACCTGCAGCAGGCCTCAGGGAGGCCAACAGCACCACTTACACCACAGGTACCTGCAGGAACACACTGCCTGAACGAAGGTGGGCAAAGCAGCCGCCCAGAAACAGGGAAGGAACAGACACTGGTTTTACATTTCTCCAGAAAAACAGGAGGTCATGGGCCCTGGAAATGCCAAGGTAGCACCTTCTGCTAGACATTGTGGGGTTTTTTTTGTTATTTAATTAAAATGAGAAGTACAAGGCAAGCTGAAATGCTGTCCAGGAATGCACCTGACAGGCGAATCCTACTCAAGAGCTTATTCATTAATTCGTATAGAAGCCTGTCACAAAGGCACCCTGCAAAATAACATATCCATGGCAACGAGGCAAAACGGTGCCTTTTCTGGTCAGGGTTCAGTCAGTCATTTGACTGCGTGGGAGAGGCAACTCTGATCACAGGGAAGAGAAATCAGAGCTCTGGCAATGCAGAATTGGGAATGTTGTCTCCCAAACAGCTCTGCCAAGCAACTTCTTGTGGCCTGGAAGAGGGCCAAGGTCGCATTTTACTGTATTTGGTGCAGTTGCTCTTACATGGCAGAGCTCGTGTCTCAAGGCTGCTGTCAAGATGTTACAATGAGCCAAAAAATGTTGTTCTTCAAAATAATTGCTCTACTTGAAAATATATGCATTTCCCAGACTCTTAGTGTCCACCACAAGACACTGACAAATTGATTCACGTTCAGCACCAGAACAGATGCTCACCAACAGCAAGCTCCACGCAAGTCCCATGGATGGAGAACTTACGCTTTCATGGGGAGAAAAAAATTCCATTTTTCTTCTGCGTTTACAATGTTTAAGGGACATTTAATATGTATGGCAGGCCAAAGAACCACCTCTGTAGACTCTCTCCTGAGGATCCAGTCACAGAGAAAACTCCAGTGTTAGTGTGTGCACAATCAGCTCAAGACCTGGGCAACTGTCTGGAACCAAACTCAGGCACCCAACTCCATCCCAGACCGTTTCCCACATTTCCCACAGGGCACAGGGTGAATGACGAGGAGACTGCTGAGCCCAGCAGGGGGCACTGCGGGACAAATTAATAATTCAGATTTTGTGCATTTGGGAGGGTACCCAAAAAGAGAAGTGACCTGAGAGCAGGGCAAGCCGAGACACATCCTGAAACCAGGCAAAAAAAAAACAGTCTTCATGTATAAAGCCTTTCACTGGAAAGGCTATTTTTAATCGAAGCTTCCAGTTACATGAAAACAGATTCAAACTGAAATGTGTAGCTTATTGGTATGAAAAACAAAAAGAAAAAACACATGAAAATAAACAAAAAACCCACACATCTTCACTTTTCATGTCCCACATGAAACAGTAGCAGAGATTTAAAGAACAAACAAGCAACCAAAAAAATAATCCACAAGCACCAAGATCCTCAGAACAGAATACGGGGGGGGGGGGGGAGGGGAAGGCGGGAAATAGTTCTTTTTTAATTAAATAAAAAAATTCATATTTGTGTGTGCATGCATATTATAACATTCTATATATTAAGAGTTCTTTAGCATAAAAAGGGATTTAAAACAAAGTTTCAGCAGTAGAAATCTCCTCTTTTCATTAAGAAAACGGAATAACAAAAACATCTCTAATGCTCTGATGGAAAATCTGCCACTACTTTTGTTTGCGCTGAAGTAACCTCCACCCCCAAACCCTACCATTGCAACATGGATTCAGCCGTGGGGAACCACCTACAGCCACGACAGCTGCCCTGGCAGCAGCCGGTGCCGGCAGCTCCGGGGCAGGGCTCCGTGTGCTGCTCCAGAGGGAGCCGCGTGGCGCGTGCCTGTGCTCGCCCGCGGCTCTCCGAGCACCCCAGCTGGCCCGAAGTCACCACGAGCGACGCAAAGAGCAAACTGGGCCCAGCTGTGAGGGGCAGCTCAGCGCCTTGGTGGATTTTAGCATCGAGTAATTCCAAACTCATGACACGCGGGCAGTGTTTTGCGCTTCTAATGCGGAACAGACTCGCAGAGCAGTCATCCTTATGCTCCCCTCCGAGCATGTTTGAAGGGAGGAAGCGACTGTCGCCAGCAGCCCTGCGCACAAAGCCAGACCACAGGCACCAGCATCTTCTGTCACTGCTCCTAAAGCTCCATTCCACATGTGCTTTTCACTTTTTCCACAACACTGTTATTGGCTTCAGTTGCTTCCCAAAATCCTAAAGGGACAATCCTAAACTCCATCCAAGAATAAGGACCATCCAAGTCCTCTCCATTCACGCTACAGTAGAGCAGTGTTTTGTGGTTTTGGCTTATTTTTCACTCTACCTTCAGCTCTCAGAGCCCACTCCACAGGACAGCTGCCTCCTCGCAAGCTGACTAGAGGGAAGAGCACATCAGTGCACCCTTAGCAGGAGCGCCCAAGGCCACCCATAACTCAGAAGGCCCACACAAAGATGCAGAGCTAGAATAGATTTCCCTGGAAAAAGGCAGCTCGGAGGCTTGCTCTGCTTACGTTTCACTGGCCACAGCCCTGTCAAAAAGCAGAAGGGATTTTACAGGACTCAAACTGTCGACATTTGGTAAGGTGTACCCTCTTTCCTCTCACACTTACCTCTCCTGTAACCAGGTATTTTCCATCTGGAGAGAAAGCAAGGGCTGTGATTGTTTTCCTAAAACAGAAAGAATGGCACTGAAATACTTCCAGCATGCAATTTCATTTTGATATGTCATGATTAGAGAGGACAAACGAGTTTAAAAAAAAAAAAAAAAAAAAAAAAAGCAAGCTCAGATTACACCTAATAGCCTGCCAACAGTTTCTCTTTACCACAAGTCCAACATTTGCCATGAAGATTCCCTGTCCAAATCTCTAGCTGGATACCTACAGCCCCATGAAAGCTCCAGAAGTTAAGGGTCATCTTCATATCTGTGCCTTTATTGCAGCTGCAGGGCCATATCAGTCCTGGCTCCAAGATACCACGGGGTTCCAGTAAAACCTCCTCCATTTGGTGCCTTGTAAAAACTTCCTCATGTGGCCACAATATTTTGAAGTGTTGCCTAGTCAGCAACAGGAGTTCACATGAGGAGGAGCTACGGCCAAACCAGCAGGCAGACTCTGCTCAAGGCGGCGCTTGCTGCAGGAATTTATCTGGGAGCAACAGTTTTCTCAGCAGCTTTTATACTTTGCTCAAGCTGTAAGAGCCTTGAAAGCCACCTCCCACAGAGAATAAGCTTGAAACCTCACTCACCTGGAGCTGTTTAGAATATGGTGTTGCTTATTTTTTCTAGGGTTGAACAGCACAACAACACACCTAGATGGAGGAAAAAAAGAAAAACAAATGTTGACATAACAGTTATGGGCTTAAAGAAACAAATGGGGCCATCCTTGTTGCCAGAGCAGAAGCACAAGCAGAGTATTCAATCCCCTAACCTCACAGTTTGGGCTCTGATTAGCTGGAAAATGCAAAAGAAAAGAGCAGCTCAGAGGAGAAGAAATCCCAAGCATCTCTCACATTGAGGAGTACAGTACCATAAATAATTTCCTTTGGCACACACGAGCTCCAAGTCTCTCCCTGCTCAAGCTGGACAGAAAGGTTAATTATGAAAGTCTGTGCAACAGTACCAGCAGATTAGGTTCCCTGCCCCCCTGCCATGAAAACGACCCCATGTTCTGGACACCAAAGCATTACGTTCCTCAAGCGAGGAAGTCAGGAGCAATGGAAGACAGGATCTTTTGAAAAAGCTCTCAGGAAGAAAGAGCTAATTTTCTGTGGCTCCTCTGTAACACAAGCCTGGACAAAAAGCTGCTGCACGTAGCACAAGGGGTTAGCTGGTGAGAAACATGATGTCAGAACCTACTGGCCCTAGAGACAGCCATCCGAATAAACAACTTGCTCGGGGCTCTGCACAAATCCCTCAGCAAGACGGACTGCAAAAGCAGCAGCCTCCCGTTAAGCAAAACATTTCTTCTCTTCCATGAGAAGCGAGCTAACGAGCGACAGGGTGAGGTTGAAGGAGAAGGGGCGCCGCTTGGCCGCCATTCCGCACACGACGGGCCACGTCGCCGCCGCCTCAGCGCCGAGGAGCCGGCGCCTCCACGGGTCCCGTCGCGGCCCGGCGATGGCGCCGCAGGGCCGGCGTCTCCTTGAGCAGCCCAGGCCACCGGGCCCTCCCCAGCTCCAGCAGGGCTGCCCTGCCAGGAGCGGCACCTATTTTGAGCGGGAAAACAGTGCACAGGAGGCCCGGCACTGCCAGAGCCAGCGCCCATGGCCAAAGCTGTCAGCCTCCATTAAATCACTACCTCAAAGCGGGCTCAGAAAGGGACTAACGCCTCCAAAGCCCCCACCGTGCACAAGATGCGGCCCCCTCGTGTCACTACATCCCCCACATGGTGCCCCCCAACAACAGCCCTGGCTTTCTCGAGACACTAAAGCATGGCTGGAGACGTAACCTTGTGGTTAAAAGTGTAAATAAGCAGGTTGTTCAAACTGGAATCGATCCTCTGGGCTCTTCATGCTGGGCAACCAATCTGGAAAGGCTCAAGTCAAACCCGTGCTATTTGTTTCTATAGGTGTATACAAGAAGTAGGTGTTTTGTGATCCAGTAACAAGGCAAGGAAAGTTAATCCTTGCAAATCATGAGACATAAAATAGGATGACACCCGATGTGGAAATCTGATTCCTCTAGCTAATCAGAAAAGCAAGAAAAATGCTCTATGTGAAGTTGGGTAGGGTCACATAGACTCAAATCGTGCTGAGTTACGACAAGGAAGAGTTGCTGAAAATACATTCCAGAAAATACTGGAAAAAATAAGGAAAGATTTTTAAAAAATTCTTGACAAACTAAAAAGCTGCACAGGAAAGTCAAGTCCCTTTGTGTTTTATTACAAGGAACTCTGCACAAAAACAAGACACCACAGAAGTGAACAAAATCTAAAAATACAGGAAAGACAGGCAAAAACCAACCACAGTCTTCAAACCAACCAGGCAAATAAACATACCATTTCCTAGAATAGTGCAGGTCCCGGGGCTTTGCCTTTATTAAGCTGAGCCTCTAACCACTTACAATCATGAGTTTTAGCTCAAATTCCCCATGGCAAATGGCCATTTCCTGACAGGGCTGCCTCACTGCAGGCCTCCTTGCCCACTTGTCACCTCTCAGCAAAGTCAAGACCCCAGAGGGAGGGTAAGAACCACCCAGCTCACGCACCCAGGGGAATCAATAAATCCTCCAAGAGTTGCACAGGTTCTAACGTGAGACTACCAAACAGAGATATTTTATCTCTGTATGAAGACACCCTTATGTTTGAGCCACTGACTTTACAACCCATAGCTAAACAACTCTATAGTTGGGGCACGGAGGGGTGAGAAGTATCTCCTTACTAGTCAGCAAGCATTAACTTATGTCATGGAAAAGTAATTTTATCTCATAGACATAGTTAAACAAGATTGCATGTGGTTATGTTGAGTTGTAAACTAAACTTGCTTACTGGTTCTGGTCTTCCATAGCCTGAACGGATAAATGGATGATTTAGCCAGTCTAAGCTTTTAACCCTTAAACAGTGTCTGTTGTTGTATGTGCTGATTCTACACAAACACCCTACTGCTACCCTATGTAACAGCAAGGAAAACTTCAACCAACTTCAGGATACCTTACTCAGCAGGACAGCAGCCACACATGTTCCGGGCCTCGGGAACACCTGACTTGGAAAGCTGGTGCACACTCAGAATACTTGGAAAGGGTTCTAGCACACTTGATCCTGGAGAGCAGGTCTCTTTGAAGAGCGGTGACCAGCTACTGCCAGCACTCAAGCCGGGTGCTTGCAATACTCCAAGTATTTGAGGCAGCCTCGATGCCTGCTCAGGCACTTGCAGCTCAGCTCTATGGGGCCCTGCAGCAGTCTCCAAACCTCCCAGATCCAGCAAGTCACTTTGGAGCAGAACCTGTTGCAGTCCCCCCCGCAAGGCAAGGGAGGCTACCAAGCCCTCAGGACATTCAGAGCATCTATTCATTTCTTTTTATGTTGGCTTTAATCTTACACTAATTAAAATAATTAAATATTTACCACAGAAAATGAGTTACATACAAAACATACACCCTTCTATCCATCCACTACCATGTCTGCTTCTTTATAAGACCGTGTTCAGCATTTAACAGCCAGAGAGGCTGAAGGGCCACAGAGAACAACAGCATTGCTCTTCTCATTCTAGCTTCCATTTGTAGATGTGGTAGGCAACACGAATGGCAGCCCTAGCTCCAGAAGAGCTCTGCCCAGGACCTGCACAGAGAAGCACTGGGCCTGCTGCACACTGGTGAGCACTCTTAGCAGCCTTGCGTCAGCACAAACCTGGGTCTTCTCTGCAGCCCTGGGCAGAGCTTAAGGACCATGTTTTGCTCCATGATAATATTCTGATTTCCAAGACATTTATAGAAACCATTCGCTGCTGTGCGGATTACCACCGTACAAACCATGTCCCAGCCAGTGGGGATCAGGTATCCAGTTTGTTTGCACACTAGTTCCTGCAGAGGCCGTTGGCAACTGCACACATACTTTAAAGTCTTATTTCTAGGTCTGTGATGTCATCCCCAACCTTCAAGTACACCTTGCCCATACAAGCCGCCCTTAAAAACAACTTGGCATTTGGCTCCGGGCCCTCTCCCAGGGCTCGTCTTACTTGTGAGGCAGCCAGGTAACTTCAGGGTGACACTCACAAAGGACAGAATCAGTTCTTAGAGCTGTGTCACACGGTCTTGCAGAGGACCTGAACTTTCTCCATCAGGAAACCCATTTGGGACAGCCAAGAAGGAAGCAACAAAAGGTTCTTTGGAGAGTTTGCCAAACCTCCAAGAAGGCACAGCCCTATCTTACACATGAACATATGCAGATAGAAAGCTGGTATTCCTTCAAGGGGGATTTGCAAGAGTCTCCATTTGCTCCAGCAAAAGGAAAGAGAAACAAAACATACACAAATGCAGTAATTTCCCCATGCTAAATATAGGAGCAGGAATGAAGAGGAACCAGACATCAGTATCACGTTCACAGGAAGGACCTGACCCTCCAGGTGAGCAGCACAGGGTCACTGCAGCCCCTTGGCCACCCCTTGCTCTGCCTCTCCTCTTCCCAGCTCCATTCCCACCCTCCCCAAGACCTGGTGTCTCTGCAACTTATTGTCCCTTTCTGACATTCTCCTCCTGTTTCCCAACGCAGATGTCCAATCTCCGCTGCCTTTTTCCCACCCACTCGCTCCTCCTCAGCAAACTAACAAAGCAGATTTCTGCCAGCGTCAGTTTTCCCTCTTTCCTTGCTCTGGTGGCCAGCCCCTTTCCAGGGACTTGGGAAGACTCAAGGCAGCGATGGCAACCCTCTCCTTTCCCAAGTTATCCATAATCTAGGCCGGCTGTATCTCGTGGGACACGCGACTGGAGGCAGAGTTCACAAGTCGAGTCCTCCCTGGTCACGTAAGTGCACCCGGTCTAGGTGATAAAGAAGATGCTCCAAACATTCAGACATGGAAACAAATTTCCTTTTTGTTACAATATTCTCTTTTCATGCTGCTGCAAGAATAAGTGAAAAGAGCAAACGGTGCCATCCCTCCCACACTGGGTCATTTCTCAATTCATACCCTGCTCTCTGCCCAAGATCCAGAGCTATTCAAGCAAGGCTGCAATAGCTTCCTACGCATTAAACACATACTGAAAGAGAGAAAAGGAGAAGAGAGAGAGGAAAGAGAGAAGGAGGCAGATGAGAATAAACTCTTTTTCCACACTGCCAAGGGAGGCCTGATCAGTGTGAAATAGAAAATTAACATGAGCTTTTACAGACACGGTGGGCTAACAGTGATAGGATGGGATGTGCACATTGAATATGTTACTGAAGAGGCATTTTCATGCAAGTTCTATTAAATGCATTTTGAGAAGAAAGGTGCATCTATTGAGAGGTTAAAACTTTGGTGTCACTGCCTGAGCATGGCAGCCTTTGGAGCTCACTGCCCTGGATCCATGACCAAAAAGATTGGAAGAGTGGAAGTCTCAGAGATGCTATTAAACTCGCCCTCCAGAAACCAACACAGGCTAACACATTTAACCACCGTAAAAAAAAAAAAAAAAAAAAAAAAGTGGTTAAATAATTCAAATTTCAAATAATCAGATGGCCCAAGCATTTTGAGTGTCACTAGGCTAATATTTGAGGAATTTCTGGTTGCTGAACTGTAGCATGTTGTGGCCTGGGGTGATTTTCAGAGGAATTTGTTCTGTTTAAAAGGGTTTTTTGGCTCCCCAAATCTATGTGACTGGGGACTGAAATGCACCATGG